TACCAATTCATAACAAGAGTCATGTTACCAATTCATAAGCAAAGTGTGTATAAAAGCCTTATGATTCAGTTATATATTTGTTATTTCTCTATATTTACTGGAATTTTTATAAGGTCTTTAGAAACTAATTTAATTTAGCCCCAAGCTAATTTAAAAACCTAATCTAGCTCTGGATTCATATTATAGATGGCCATCAATGTGTTTAAGAAGTCTTAAATTCAAATCCCATAAACAAAACTTTTACACTAATGATGAATATACTCTTTAATAAGTATGTTGAAAATTTTGTCTATATATATTAATAGACCAAAATGCATTAACAATCTTTAACCCTTTCCTCTTGCTCTAAAGTTTTAGAAATTTATCAATATATATTTCCTTATTAATCTTCCACATATTTCATTTTATTAAGTTTTTTAATTCTTAACACTCTTCAAGACCACGTCGTTTATATCACTTTGCATTCTTGATTAACTATAAGATTGCCTCTATCCTTCTTTTAAGAGTATCATCACTTAGTACTAGTTCATTTAGTTTTTACTTTCCAAGCTTGTTTTTATAATAAAAAGTCCTTTATTATTCTCTTTATATTGGTTGATATAGGTTTAAATTTCTTTTATATTGCTCAACTTATTGCCACACACTACCATCTACAATTGTATCATGTGGTAGAGTCGGTTTTTATTTTTTATAGCAACGGTTGTATATATTTGTGTGATGAAGTGATTTTGAGTTTGAGATTCAATCATTTTGGGTGGTGTTGAGTCAAACTTTTAACTTCATTAGTATGAATTAGTTGTAGTGCAATAATGCCAAATATGCTTTTAAGGTTTTTCACCTTATTTCATATTTTTTTCCATTCCTCTCACTTTTATTTTACTTTGTCCTTTTGCTTTTATTTTTGCTTCTATCATTTTTATCTCTTTATTACCTACTATTGTGTTTCCATCTTGCTCCTCTATTCCCTTTTCAAATTCTTTTGACAGTTTTTATGTTGTACCCAATCAAGAAGAAGTATATTGATTTCTTCAACTTTAACTTGTTATTTGGGGCCAACATTGCAATACATTATCATATTTTAACTGGGTAAGCTTATCCAATTAAAGTTCATGTTTGGTATTGATTATTAAAAGAGATTAAGATTTTACACATTAATGTCAATAAAATTTTAGAAAAGGGTGTTATTTGAAATTTTTAGAGTCCTTAGGCATATGAATCTCATTTTGTGGCAAAGCCTAATAGGAGTATTCAAATCCAAATCAACTATCATCCATTAAACAATATAATTATCTTGGATATGTACCTTCTTTGTCACAGTGTTGATTTTTTTGATTGTCTAAGGAAAAATTGTTAATTCACCAAATTAGATTTTGATTCGGGGTACTAACAACTACTAATAGTTGAAAAACATGTTCCTAAGACTATATTTTATATATTATTTGATTTATATGAGTTCTTGGTAATTTTATTTTGTTTGAATAATGCTCTAACGACTTTCCAATGGATGATAGATAAAGTTCTTTATGACATGCTAGAAATGATTATTAATTTCATTGATGATGTCTTGATTTAAGACATAGGAGAAGCATGTTCATAATGCTCTTAAAATATTAGATCAATTGCCAAAAGTTAATTTAACACTGAAGCAATTGAAGTGTGTGTTTAGGTCTAAGAACACAATTTATCTTAGGAACCATATTTCTTGTAAAGATTTACAAGTTGATCATGATAAACTTGTGGCCATTCTGAAATTCCCTATAATAAAGTGTATAAATGATGTGTAGTGCTTTCTAGGCAAGATGTAATATTTCAGTTGTTTTTTTTATTGATTATCTTTTGATCATACTACACTATTGTGAGCGCTGTTAAAGTTGTCAACATCATCTTTCATTTAATATGAGGGTTGTGAGTGGATATTTGCAGATATTATAGAGTTGTTGGCAATTTTGGCATACCCTAATTACACTCAACCTTTCATTTCATGCATAGATGGTTCTAATATTGATATTAGATGTGTGATGATGCAAAATAACATGAGTGTGCTTAGTTAAAGTTATCCCATTCTATACATCAACTATATATTATAATTAATAGAGATGAATTATTCTATAACAAAGAAATTGTATTTAGTAGAAGTTTGGGATTTCAAGAAGCTTTATATATATTTATATAGTTCTTGAACATTGATGTCACAAATGTAACTATGGGTATCGAAAGTTACCTATCAATTAGTCCTTTCAGATATTCTTTCCTTATTGTCATGACGACTAAAGGTCGATATTGCTAGACCCTTTATCAGTCCCTTTTGTACTAATAGAGTTAACTATGCATTTCAAGTGTACTTAGATTGAATGAGCATAAGGATGGAATTCCTATATGTTATTAGATAAGCATATTTAGCCTAATAAGGACTTCCCCTGTCATTGCACTAGCTAGCAAAAATTCATATGTATTGAGACTAATCCCTTAATATCATTAAATGATAATTTAATATGTCTATGCCCTTTACATTAGTTTTGTTCACCTTAATTGTTATTTATGGAAAATATCTAGATTTACTAATTTAGTATATTTTTAGAATGTAGAGATTGTCTTGAACACAATGGTGTTTATCTTATGCCCAAATTCACAATTTAACACCATTCTATATTTAGTAAGTTTAAAATTTATTCTAAAGACTAACTTTTGGTACTAAGGGTGGCTAAGGGTGAAACCCAAAAGCATGTTGTTCCTCATAGGGGTGCGGGGCTATAGGGGGTTTTAAATGTATAGTAAGGATAGTAGACAGGTCGGGCATAGTTGACTAACTTGAGGTATAGTTTAGCTTCCATTTGTGTGTTTGTCCTTGTTCTACATTCGGCTTGGGTCTAAATCCAAGTTTCACACCGTACTAGTTGATGGAATACCCATATCCTCATGTTAAGTCACCAGTATGATAAATTTCATTTAACTCTATTTTATATGCTAATTCTGGTATTACAATGCTTGATGCTCTAGGATTGTTCCAAGTTGCTCCATGCTTCTGTCCTCCTGTTTCTTGGGCTATATGCTCAAGAGTTATTCTGTGCTCCAGTACTTCCATTCTTTGGCTTTATGTTTAAGAATTTGGCTCCGTTCCTTCATTCAGTGGCCTAAGGCTCTAAAACTTAAATTCTACTCAATTGTCCTTGGATATGTGGTATGTAGCATGTGGTATATGACATATGGCACATAAATGATTTAGGTTCCACTTTGTGATTATTCTATAGTAAATCACCATAGGATAAAAGGTGAAAATTACATGTGCTACAATTAATAAAAGGTACTTCATTATTAAAGTGGGGGAGGTTGTATTGCTTAATGGGATTTGAACTTCTTATATATGATTTAAAGATTTTTTATTGAATTTTCATAATTAATGCTAATGCCATTTTTTAAGCTTCTTTCCTTTTCTTGCTCTTTCTCATGTTCTAAGCCTTTTATCCTATCAAATAAGACCTCAAGTTTATGTGATTTAGCCTTAAAAACAAATAACACTATTAAGAATAAATAACACTATCTATAAATCCATTGGTGCCTTTTCTTTATGTTCTTCCATATCCTAGCTATCAAGACCCCCAACATGATCAAGACTGGAAAATGCAAAAGACAAAGAGAAAAGCTAATGGAAACAAAGAAGAGGCCTTAGACTGGTGTTGATTCAGATTGTGGAGAAATGGAACAAGGCTAAGTTATATATACTATAGGTTGATGAAGCTCCACCACTCTTGGATTGAGGACGGCCTAAATATAGTTGAGGTTGAGGAGGCGCCACATCAATATCAGGAATGTGGCTCGAGACTCAGGAATTGTCCAGGAAATCAGAGAGTCAGGAATAGGGAAGTGTCTTGAGAGTCAGGAATAGGGAAGTGTCTCGAGAATCAGGAATGTGGTCTGCAGGTCAGGAATCTGGCGAGAGTCAGGAATGTGGCAAGAATTGGAGGATTCGGGGATTCCTGACACTAGCCCATTAGCTAAACAATTTTAATTGCCTTTCATCTTTCCAACAAGAGAGGCTAAAGTTGTTAGTAACTAAATAGAATTACTCGAGAGATGGTGCATTAGGTTTATATATAGAAGGAAAGGGCATATAAACAAGAGTGCACATACTTTTCTAATTAATTAATGGTTTTGGGATACTTGAGATTAAGTGTTTGAATAGTACTATATAAGTTAAAAGGGATAATCAAATATACAAAAATCACAATATTAGAAGCTTAACTTTATAATTTAATTCTATAATTCAATGCATACACTTCTTTAGATAATGCTTGAATGATTTATTTGATTTGGTCACTCTTAACACTTATGTGTAATATATTATTCTTCTACTTTCTTAGATACTGGTGCTAATTTGAAAAATAGCAATAATCTATTTGATTTACTTGCTTAATATATATATAAAAATTAGAATAATAAATTAATGTATTGATTATATCATAAAAAATTTAATTGTTAATTTGATTTACTAGCTCCCAATATTTATGCCTAATAAAAATATTAAGATATCATCTACTTTGTTAGATAGTGTTGTCAGGAAAGCTCATTGCATAATATAACATGTTCATTTTGTTGATTGTATGACAGGGAATAAAAAATGTTTTAATGCTCTTGGGATGTATTAATTTTAGAAATTGAATTATATCTTATTTCTTTGTAACTATATTTTAAGGAATTTTTGAAAATGCATCAATTTGAATCGATAATTTCTTACAGTTTTTCTAGGCATGAAAAACCCCTTTGTTGATCAACATACCACAAACATTAGTATAACAATATAGAGAATGCACATCGAGGTGATCTACAAGTGGAGGAAACATTAAAAATCTTATCTAAGCACAATAGCCACAAGTTTACAACCAGGCTACTTGGGTTGCCACTACCTAGCAATTTGGATAGTGGAGGGAAAACTAAAATCTTTATCTAAGACATACAGAACCCAGTCTTGGGAACTGATTATCTTCAAAACGATTAGGGTTTCCGGTTTATGGATAGAGAAGAGCTGCCGCGTGAGATCCTGGTGCACATCCTCCGTCGCCTTGGATTCGAGGACAGGTATGCGGCTGCGACGCTCGTATGCAAAGCCTGGCGCGATGCCGTCACAGATCCCGCCTGCTGGGATGTCGCAAGTGTGGAGGAATGCTTTGAGAGGAGGCTCGAGGTTGTGCTCTGGTCCACTGACGAATTCGAGGAGAGGATCGACGCCATGGTGAAAAATGTGGTGGATTGGAGCCGGGGAGGCCTCCGCGAGCTCCACGCCCGCCACTGCTCCAATGCGGCCCTCGTCTACGTTGCCTCGAAGTAATTGCTCTCCTATTTTCGCTGGACTTGATTGATTCGTTTCGAATTCCAGATGTCCGCGCCTCCAATCGCTCTCGATGAGAGACAGCCCCAACCTCACCGACGTCGCAGGCGCTGCCATCGCCGCAGCGTGCCCGGAGCTCCGGGAACTGGATCTCTCCAACACCAAGTGCATCTCGCTCGAATGCTTCAAGCCCTGCAAATCCCTGGTAAGTCTCAAGATGAATTCCCCCGATCGTCGCCGTCTTGTTCCCCTAGGATACCGCGCATTGCAGGGCGCGGCATTCGCAAGTGCGATGCCGGGGCTGGAAGTTCTGGAATTCAGGAATGGTGCTCTCTCGGATGCGGACCTCCAATCGATCTTAGACGGCTGCTCCAAGATCCGCCACTTAGATTTGCGTGGCTGCCAGGGGCTGTCCAACGCGGCGGTGGAAGCGGCGAGCTCGATCGTCCCTTGCTTCCTCAAGCCTCTCCCGCGCTTGGACGAGCCAGAATTCCCTCGCTATGGGCACTGGCAGCTCTACAGCGAGAGATTCCAGCCCGAATTCCAGTTCTAGCACAGTCTCGAATCATCGATTCCTCGCTCGGGCGAAGGATAGAGAAATTGGAAATAATTCAATCCGCTTGCCAGGAGCCCTAGCCGGTTTTACTTGGATTTTTAAAAAAAGAGCGATGGTGCGAATATTCCCTCAGATTCTATTAGGGCGGGGCTTTGGGCCAGTGGCCGAATTTCGCCGCAACGCGGTCGTACGTACGGCAACCGATCTACAAGAGAGAGAGGGAGCCCTTGTAGGAAGGAATTCTCTCTTTGCTGTTTCTCTCCATTACTTCGTGCTCACTCCTTTTCTTCGTCTCCCTCGTTTCTCCTCTTTCCCGGCGCAAATCGGCCGCGTTTCCAATCGGCCCAGGAAGATCGGCCGCGCGCCCAATCCGCGTGCCCGATTTGTCCCCGAGAGTGGTGTTCGAGACGCGCAGCGAGAAGAGAAGAAAAAAAAATCGCGAGAGGAGGAATTGGGAGTGAGAAATCCGAGAGGGAGGAGCATGCTCTTTTGTGGTGTGGAGTTTTGCTGTGGATTTTCCTGAATGGGAGAGAATGGGAAGCGGTTATCCGGTGCTAGCAGCAGAGTGGGAGGGAGCGGCGGTGGCGCTACTGCCAACGCCGCCAGCAACGCCACCACCATCACCACCACCAGCGGCGCCAGCATGTTCGAGGGCCGCCCTGTTCTCAACACTCTGGGCGGCCGATTCAAGAGCGGGTCGCCCACCCGGCCATCGCCAGTAGCGGCGGTAGCGGCGGCGGCAAAAGGCGGCAGCAATCACGAAGATCTTGGCTCCAGCCACCCCCATCCGCATCAATCTCCCTCGCCCTCTTCGCACCACCTCCTCCATCTCCCCCCTCCCTCCTCGAAAGCGGCGGCGGCGGAGGAGAGGAGCGCCACGGCGGCGATGACGACGATAGGAGGAGCTTCCACGGCGGCGGCGATGGCCTCGTCCCCCAGCCCGGCGGCGGCGATGGCGTCGAGCGGCGCGGCGGAGCGGAGCAACGGGGAGGCGAATGCTCTGGAATCCGGCGTTGGGCACAAGCGCAAGAGCCCCGACGAGCCCAGCGGGCTTCTCCAGTGGGGGCAGCGGCGGAGGCAGCGGAATGGGCGTGTCGTGGAAGCGACCAAGGGAGGAGGAGGAGGCGGCGCTGCCGTGGTGCCGCAGCACCACCACAGCTCCGCCAACAACACCGCCACCAATCACCACCACCACCACCAACACCACCACGAGGAGTCGTCAAAGAAGATGGCGATCCGCGCGGATCGGAGGGTTGTGCGCGCGGAGAAGCAGCAGCAGCACGGATCCAGCGCGGTAGCGATGGCGGCGGCGCCCGCGGCCATCCCCACCGCCGCCGTCACCACCACCGCCACCACCACCGCCGCCGCCCGGCAGCCCGCGGCGCATTCCTCCAGATCGTCGTGCATGGCGCCACTCGAAGGAAACTCCATCAAGAGGTGAGTGAGTCAAGAGAGTGTGATCCACCGCGATCGATCGATCTAGAGGGAGGATCTCGCCCCCCGCCCGATCGATCGAACCGATCGGTCGGATTGACTGATTGGTGTTCTTGCTTTTCTTTCTTGGCATTTCTTCCAATTTTTCCTCTTTTTTTTGGTTTTTTTTTTCCTGCGTGTCTTGGTGTTAATAGTTCTTGCTTGGATTGGATCTTTAAGGTTTTAGCTGGATATACATCGTCTCTTTGGGTTTCAATTTTTTTGTTACCTGATTTTTTTTTTATCACTCCCACTTTCTCTCTCCTCCTCCCCCTTTGTGTGCTTGCTCTTCCTCGTTGGGTCTTGTTTGGCAAAAATTCGTGATGATAACGGCTTTTGGCGTGTTGCTTGGCAGGAACAACGGCGATGCCTGCAATGCCGCGGCGGCGGTGGCGAATGGCGGGGGCAGCAGCAGCGCCAGCGACGAGCAGCAGCAGCACCACCAGAATCACGCCCACCACCAGCAGCAATCGCCCCAAGATCAGGCCCAGCCCGCCGCCCAAATCCACCCCCACAAGCACCACCACCAACACCAGCAGCAGCAGCAGCAGCACCATCACAACCACCACGGCGCCGCCGCCAACAACAGTAGCAGCCGGGGGGATCGGCCATCCTCGTCCCCGGCTGGGGAGTGTGGCGGCGGAAGTGGCGGCGGCGATGACGATCCGGGGCAGGCCCAAGATCAGTCGGCGGAGGCGGCGGCGGTAGCGGCGGTAGATCCAAAGGGGTGTGCTGGTGGTGCTTCCTCCGCCCAGGAGAAGGTTAACATGGAGCTGTTCGAGTGGCCCAAGTTCTTAATCTCCTTGTCCCGCAAGGAGAAGGAGGACGATTTCCTGGCGATCAAGGGATCCAAGCTGCCGCAGCGGCCCAAGCGGCGGACCAAGCATGTCGAGAAGACATTGCACGTAAGTTCTTCGTGTTCTTGGCTTGCAAAGTTTTTTTTTTATTTTTTTTTTAATGTTCTTGAGCTAACTCTTTTCGTTTCGTTGCAGTATTGTAGCCCTGGAATGTGGCTCTGTGACTTGACGCGAGAGCGATACGAAGTGAGAGAGAAGAAATCGATGAAGAAGGTAAGCGAGCGTTTTCTTTTCTTTTCTTTTCTTGTTTGGTTTGCTCCATTCGATCGTTGATCGATGGCTTGATCGATGCGTTGATCGATGTTTTGAACGATGGCTCACGCAAGATCGTGTTTGCTGTGCGTCAGAAACCGCGGGGATTGAAAGCTATGGGGAGTGTGGACAGTGAGTCGGATTGAGGAGCGACGATGCCAAGGTTTTTTGGGATCGATCACGCACAGTTCCATATCCAGCGCTGGGAGATTATAACAATCGCCATTCATCGCCATCCAGATCCACCACCATCACAAGTTCTAAAATGGAAGCTTTGGAAGAGCAAGCAGCCGCAGCATTTGTAGAGAATCAATCTTTCACACTTTTTTTTTCTACTCGAAGGCTCTCTGGCGAGCTCTCTCATATGTGTCTTTTTTTGTAGAAGAAAAACACACACATACACACACCCATCGATCAGTTCGTCAAATCCTTGTACATGATGATGAACACCACCCACCAAGAACAAAGAGAAAAACAAATTTTTTATTGGCTTGGACCGATCGATAGATGGATTGATGGATAGAATGTTAGTAGCCTAATGCGTCCTGCAACGCGGTGGGAGGGAGCGACAAGTTTTGGTCTCCTTTTTTCCTCCTTCCTCCTTTTTTCCTTCTTCCTTGTTCTTCCTTTGTTTGATTCGATTCGAATAAACACGCGATAAAAAGTGATTTATTGCATCCTAAGCATGACAATAATATAGGGCAGTGGTGTGTTTGCCGGAATTGCGAGGCGGAGGGAGTGGTGTGTGACAAGACGAGGGCGGCGCGGCACTGCCTCGATCGAGCGCCCCGGGATTCCCATGGATCGATCCACGCCGAGGTGAGCGATCGATCGAGAAAGAGCTTCTTCTTCCTCTCCTTTGGTTTTGTCCTTGTTGGTTGGGGTTAGGGTTTGAATTTGTGTGATGTGTGTGCTTCGCGCAGTGCGGAGGAGGAGGCGGCTGGCGCAGCGTAGCAGCAGCAGTAGCGGCGGCGGCGGCGGCAGTGTGACGAGAAGGATCGCCACAACGGCGCGGCACGAGAGATCGGGATTTTTTTATGGAAACGCGCAGCCGTAAGCGGGCCGAGGCCACTGGGAGGCGGCCACCACCTGCGCAATCGTCTTCGCGAGCTTCCAAGCGAGTGCGCGTCGGCGCCTCTAGTTCTAGTTCCGGCGCGGCAGCAGCGGCGGCGGCGGCGCCACCAGCACCAGCGCCAGTAGCAGCAGCGGCGGCGGGAGCTTCCAGCAGCCGATCCAGGCCATCGACTCGGAGGAACACTGCGTCTCAAGCGGGGACCTCTGTAAGTAACAGTGTAGCAGCAGCAGCTCAGGGTAGTGGTAGCATGGATTTGACTCCACCCGAGTCGGGGGGGTCGCGGAGGGATAGGAGGGACAAGGATAAGGCGAGCAAGCGCGAGCATGACAAGGACGACGATCGAGGGTCGGAGAAGGTGTTGCGAGGCTCCGGCGAGAAGGATGACAAGGGGAAGGAGAAAGAGGCGTGTAGGAACAGGGATGCCAGGGACCGGGCCGCCGGAGCTTCCGTCGAGGCCGACGACGACGATGGTGGCGATGGCGTGAGCACCTTGCAGCAGAACTTGGCGTCGGCTAGCAGCGCCTTGCATGGTTTGCTCCGGAAGCTGGGCGCTGGATTGGATGAGTTTTTGCCATCGTCGACCCCGGCTCATCAGAGCAGCCGGTTGAAGCGGATTCTTTCCGGGTTGAAGGCCGAGGGGGAGGAGGGGCGGCAGTTGGAGGCGTTGTCTCAGCTGTGCGAGCTGCTCTCCATCGGCACGGAGGAGTCTTTGAGTAGCTTCTCGGTGGACTCGTTCGTGCCGGTGCTCGTCAGCCTCTTGAACCACGAGTACAATCCGGATGTGATGCTGCTGGCAGCCAGGGCGCTTACACACCTCTGTGACGTGCTCCCCTCGTCCTGCGCTGCCGTGGTTCACTACGGGGCGGTTCCTTGCTTTTGTGCACGGCTTCTCTCAATTGAGTATATCGATCTTGCGGAACAGGTAACCTTTCTATACTTTGTGTTTTTCTCTCTCCGGTACTTACACTTTGCGATCACCAGTCTTTACAAGCTTTAGAGAAAATATCCCATGAACACCCGGCAGCGTGCCTACGAGCGGGAGCTTTGGTTGCTGTCCTCTCGTATTTGGACTTCTTCTCCACCGGGGTCCAGGTAGGACAATTTTTGCAGGTTTTAGAAATTCGCTGATGTCTGTTTTGTCAGAGGGTTGCTGTTTCCACGGCCGCTAATATATGCAGGCAGCTTCCATCTGATGGTGTGAATTTTGTTATGGAGTCCGTTCCTATACTGACCAACTTATTACAATACCAGGATCCTAAAGTATGTCGTCGATGCTTTTCGTATTAGTACTCTACTTACCGTTGCTTTATCTAGGTGGTGGATCATGCTTCTCTGTGTCTCACACGGATTGCAGACTCGTTTGCAAATTCATCGGAGAAAATAGACGTGCTTTGCTCCCATGGGCTAATTCCGTTGGCTGCACGACTCGTCTCTGTTGGCAACCCAAACGGCGCCATGGTTCCTCAAACTTCGTTGAGTGCTTCGACATACACGGTAAATGGACATATTTTGCAAAAGTCTGATAACGCTAACGCTAATGTATCAGGGTTTGATTCGTCTCCTTTCTAGCTGTGCGAGTGGATCTGCTTCGGCGTCTGAAAGTCTGCTATTACTGAATATAAGCTCCATACTTAAAGATATTCTAACTGGAGCTGGCTTAACATCAACTACGTCCGTTGCTCCTTCTATCAGCAGGCTTCCTGAACAGGTAAATTGTCTACAACCAGAAGCTACGCGCTAACTCTGTCTTTCAGCTCTTCGAGATTGTGAACCTTGTAAACGAGCTTTTACCACCTGTTCCTGATGTCGGTGCCGCGCCATTGCCAAATGGAGTGGACAGCACGTCGTCCTCTAAGGTGACCCAAGCATCGCCTCGGATACAGCTCCTGCAAGATCGTCCGGAACTGTTGCTGGGATTTGGAGCTGATCTTTTTCCAGTGCTGGTTCAGGTTAGTTGTGTCATGAAATTTCTTTCTTTTCGGTTTTCCGTTTTGTAACATAAAAAATTGCAGGTTTATGGGTCTAGTGTAACTTCTTCGGTGCGACACAAGTGTTTAGCTGCCATTCATAAGCTTCTTTATTTCAGTACACCAGAAATGCTACATTCTCTCTCCAAAGACACAAACATATCTAGGTGCGTGCTCTAGACAATCCGGTATTGTGTACTAACTATTTCTTTATCAGCTTTCTAGCCGGGGTTCTAGCTTCGAAGGATCCTTCCGTATTACTCACTGCTCTTCACATCACCGAGTTGCTGATGCAAAAGCTACCAGGAGTTTTTGCGAAGACCTTCGTGAAGGAGGGTGTCGTGCATGCTATTGATACCTTGATTGCATGCGAGCAACAACTGGGAAAGACTTCGGATTCTCAGAAGACCCGTCGTGCTACGTCTGGTCGACGTCGCTCTGGGAGCACGAGTGACGTTCATCCAGATGATCCAGGTGGTTCCAGCAGTGCTCCAGTTGGCTCGCCACCAAATGCCGATTCTCCTCTGCATACAGCACGTCTTGGACTGCTTTCAACTGCGGTCGCAAAAGCCAAGTTTTTGAGGGGGGCTCACTTTTGCAACGGAATTACAGATGGCGGGGCAACGGAAAGTCTATGCAGGCTTAAATCTCTTTGCTCCAAGCTGACTGCAGACTGTACTCCGGAAGTGAAGGGGAAAGGGAAAGGGAAAGCCAAAGCTTGTGGTTCAACGACCTCTTTATCTGAGGAACAGTTACTGGCTGCTATATCTGGAGTGTTCGGGGAACTCGAAAACGGGGAAGGCGTTTCTACATTTGAGTTTGTCAACAGTGGCATTGTGAGTGCGCTGCTGAACTATCTGTCTTGCGGTTCCGTGGATGGCAGATCGAGGCAGCAGGCTCTGAACAGGCTAAAAAACTTCCTTGCTGTGGCCCTTTCATCCGACATTAGAGAAGCGCCTTTGACGGTTTTGGTGCGGAAACTACAAAACGCGCTTGGCTCCTTGGAAAGATTTCCTGTTATTTTGAGCCATGGTCCTCGTGCAACTGGAAGTACTGCAAGTATTGCTGCCGGCCTCAGTGCGTTAACTCAACCGTTCAAACTGCGACTTTGCAGAGCATCCGGTGAGAAGGTTCTTCGTGACTACTCCACGAACGTGGTCCTTATTGAACCTTTGGCTACTTTGGCTGCCATTGAAGACTTCTTATGGTCTCGAGTTAAAAGACACGACAGTTCTCCCTCGTCGACGGTTGCAGCATCTTCCGACTGTGTTTCTTCTCCACCTGCGTCAACTACTCCTACGGCCTCAACATCGACTCCATCAAGGCCTTCTACAAGATCACGTACAGCTGCCGCTGGCAGTGGCGATGCAACGCCGTCTAAAGGCAAGGGAAAGGCTAAAACTTTTGAAGCTCGAGCAACTACTGAAAGTCGGGGTCCTGAAACTCGTAATGCGGCTGCTAGAAGGAGAGCTGCTGCTGCGGCAGCTTCGGCAGCTGTTACAAAACAACGGGCACCCATTGACAGCGAGGTAAGTCTCTTTTTTCGTGTTTTCCCCTGTTGACACGATTTTATGTTCCAGGATGACGATGCAGACGCATCTCCTGTTGAAGTTGAGGACGCCGTAGCAATGGACGAGGATGATGTCTCTGAGGACGAAGAGGAAGTAAGTTTCTACAGCTTGCTAGATATATTTTTCAAATCTTGCTTATATGATTTTTTTGTGTGCAGCTTTTCGGTGAAGAGCCAGCTGAAGTTTGCGTCGGTGATCGTGTGCATGATGTGCAACTGGGAGATTCTGCGGATGCAGGGGCTGTTGCGACTAGTGCCACCACGAGCGAGACTCCATCTTCTTTCGGCACAGGTGCTGCAGGTTCAAGTACGCCGGTCTTAATAGGAACAGGGGCAAGTGGATCAAGAGCGACCGCTGCTGTTGGAAAGGGTGCTCTTTCGTTTGCTGCGGCTGCAATGGCTGGCGCAAATGCTTCAAAAAACAGCAAAGATCGCAAGTCTCTCGCAGCTGTCGCTTCCGCTAACGTGCCTCCGAAGCTGTCTTTCTATCTGGGTGGTAAACTGCTCAACAGGTCCTTGACTATTTTCCAGGCAATCCAAAGACAAACAGCCATGGACGAAGATGACGACGAACGATATGCAGCACCAGATCATCCGTTAGGCCACGGCCGCAGGTTGTGGGACGAGGTTTACACGATAACTTATCAGAGAGCTGATCCGACTGAAAAGACTTCTCCAGGAGGGGCTAGTAGCACTAAGTCTGGGGTGGCCGGTTCCAGTAGTCAGGGGTTAGACGGGTTGCAGCAAGCATCACTTTTGGACGCTATATTGCAAGGAGAACTGCCTTGTGACTTAGATAAGTCGAGCTCGACGTACAACATCCTACTGCTGCTCCGGGTGTTGGAAGGTTTGAACAGACTGGCTCCTCGCTTACGTGCTCAAGGGGTGATAGACGCCTTTGCCGAAGGCAAAGTATCAAGTCTCAGCCTCAGTGAGGCATCAACGGGAGGAGCGTCTGTTCTACAGGAAGAGTTCCTTAGCAGCAAACTAACTCCCAAGCTGGCGCGTCAGATGCAAGACGCCCTGGCCCTCTGCAGCGGCGGCTTGCCGGCGTGGTGCCACCAGCTGACTAAAGCGTGTCCGTTTCTCTTCCCGTTCGAGACGAGGAGGCAGTACTTCCATTCGACTGCGTTTGGCCTTTCTCGTGCTCTCCAGCGGTTGCAGCAGCAGCAGAGTGCAGACGGGACATCTTCTGCAAACGAACGTGAGCTTCGAGTTGGCAGGCTACAACGTCAGAAAGTTCGCGTTTCCAGGACGCGGATTCTCGACTCGGCTGCGAAGGTTATGGAGCTTTACTCCGGTCACAAGGCTGTTTTGGAAGTGGAGTACTTCGGGGAGGTTGGCACAGGTCTGGGGCCTACGCTGGAGTTTTACACGCTGGTTAGCCGTGAACTTCAGAAGAACTCTTTGGATCTGTGGCGTACGGAATCTCGTCCGGGCTCGCCTCAGCAAGCAGACACTGAGATGCCTGACATCAACGAGGATGTGTTGGACGAACCGTCAGAGAATCAGGCGAGTGTTCAGCCAGTGGAGCAGAACATCGATTACGTGACCGCTCCGCATGGCTTGTTTCCACGGCCGTGGCACCCCGCGTCGACTGACGCCAGATACATGAAAACAGTGGAACACTTCCGATTGCTTGGGAGAGTCATGGCCAAAGCTTTACAGGATGGACGTCTGTTGGATCTTCCCTTCTCCATCCCCTTTTACAAGCTTGTTCTTGGACAGGTACTTACTCGCTACTCTTTAGTGTCTGCTACTTAACATTGTTTTCGGATTGACAGGAACTGGACCTTTACGATGTTAAGGCCATTGACCCAGAACTCGGGTCAACATTGGACGAGTTGCAAGGTCTGGTCCGCCGTAAGCAATATCTGGAGGGCGTTTGCCATCAGATGTCGGATGGACTGAGATTCCGTGGTTCGAGGATTGAAGACCTTTGCCTCGACTTCACGCTTCCGGGATATCCAGAGTTCCACCTGAAAGAAGGTGGAAACGAGATCATGGTATGGTGATAGATACTTTATACGCGAATGAACTAATCTGTGTGATCAGGTGACTCTGGACAACCTCGAGGAATATGTAGCATTAGTTGTGGATGCAACGGTGAAGATGGGTATTTCCGCACAGATGGAAGCATTACGATCAGGATTTAGTCAGGTAAGCAGAGAAGTTCGCCAGGCTTCCTTATTAATGTTCTGTTCATCTGCAGGTGTTTCAGTTAAGCTCATTGCAGATCTTCACTGAGCAGGAACTCGATAATTTACTCTGTGGACGGCGAGAACTGTGGACGGTGCGTTTTTTTTTCTTTCTTTTTCTCGGTCATAGTATTGATGGGCCTGTCTTTGTTAACAGCCGGAAACTCTGGTGGATCATATCAAGTTTGATCACGGCTATACTTCAGCCAGTCCACCTGTTCGTCATGTAAGAGGATTCTATATACGTCTCGGTGATTTTTAACTCATGTTCTTTTCAGCTATTGGAGATAATGGGCGAGTTCACTGCTGAAGAGCAGCGGGACTTCTTGAGATTTGCCACAGGAGCTCCACGTCTCCCACCCGGGGGTCTAGCTGCCTTGAATCCCAAGCTTACGATCGTGCGTAAGGTGAGCAAGAGATTGACACCATTTCGTTCATCCATTAACACTTCTTTTTCTTTTCCAGCATCCAACAGGTGGCAATGGATCCTCCGTGGTGTTGGGATCAACTCCGCCAGGTGCCGCGTCTGCCATGGGGACAACTCTTGCGGACGGGGACCTCCCAAGTGTGATGACATGTGCCAACTATCTCAAGCTGCCGCCTTATTCCTCCAGGGTATGTTTTCCTCGCGAAGAACACTTTCTCCTGAAGAAAAGCTCTGAAAAAAACCACTCTTTTTTGCAGGAGGTGATGCGAGAAAGGTTGATGTATGCCATCTCCGAAGGACAAGGATCGTTTGATCTCTCCTAGAGGCACGAAGAGAGAGGAGATGGGGGTCTCTCACAGATGGAGCGCTCTCAATAGCTTCTCTCGATCCAAAAGAGAGGTGTCAAAGGCGGGCGTTGTCGTCCCTCCCGGTCGAGCACACACGCATTCTTTTTGGTGAGCACGCTGGAACGAAGGTCAAGTTCTTACAAATCTTGCGCGGCGGTGGGAGAAGTTTTCAGTGAGTACATATAAGACCTGTAAATTCTCTCAGAATCAAGGTTTTAGTCAACAGAAGTAAACGAATTGCCCTTAAATAGTCGTCTTTTCAGTCAACGGTTTATTGATAGTGATTAAATTCTTTTTCACGTGACTGTAATGAGCTGGCCAATCCGCCGCGTGTCATACTCTTGATGGTACACGTGTCACGCGCGGAATATTTTGCCTTTGCCCTCCTCTCACCGCCATAGCCGCGGCGAGGCGAGACGACGAAGCTGGGGCAATCGACAATGCTGCTCAGGACCTCCTCCACGCCGGCGCGTGGATCCTTCGATCTCGCGGAAGCAGTGGAAGGTGAGAGGGCTAGGATCGCTGGATTCGCGTCACCGGCGGCGAGCTCTTGCTGCTCTAGCCGGGAGCTCGATCGCGCGCTCTCGGTCAGGAGGATCCAGTCGGAGAGCGATCTCTCGGCAGTGAGATCCCTGGCGCCGCCATGCATTTCGGCGAATACTGGCGATAGCGGCGGCCATGGCCGCCTCCGCAATGGCTCTCGAAGATCAATGCCGCCGCTCAAGCGCCACTCCTCGCTCCCCGCTGGCGCCGGTTCCGCGCTGGATTCCTTCTTGGACGAGTTGAAAGCGCCAGTGCCAGAAGAATCGGTGCTCCTTGGGAGCGACTGTGAAGAAGAACGATGTAGCATCTCTGGGTGCTTTGGAGGGAATGGAGGATCGTGTTTGTCTAGCAGCACCATCAACCATTGGAGCTCACTGGAGCTTCCAGTGAAGTCTCTCCAGGATTTCAACGAGCTCCATGCAATGTCCATCGCGGGAGGATTTGGAATTGGTGGTGGTGGTGGGCTTGGAACCATCACCGGCGGTGGTGGCGGTGGTGGCAACCGCGATCGCCCATGCGGCATGGACGCTCACTACCGGCGGCTACTCGCGGAAGATCCGGGCAATTCTCTCTTGCTCAGGAACTATGCTAGATATTTGTACGAGGTACGTATGGTTCCAAGATTTTTTCTTCTCTCTCCGCGTGATTAGCTTCTAAGCTTCTTGTTATTTCCAGAAGCGAGATCTTCCAAGGGCCGAGGAGCTGTACGAGCGAGCCATCCTTGCGAGCCCCGACGATGCAGAGCTCCGCGCCCAGTATGCTAGACTCATCTGGGAGTTTCGGAGGGACGAGGAGCGAGCTGCGAGTTACTTCGAGCAAGCTGCCCAGGCCTCGCCAGACGACTGGTAACAAGCTCGAGCTCTGTTTTTGTTTCTCTTTTCTTACGCTGTTCTTGTTTTTCTCTTGTTTGTTCTTCCGCAGCTCCGTGCTGGGTGCTTATGCGGCGTTTATGTGGGACGTTGACGAAGATGAAGAGCCAAAGAACCACGCAATGCCTGTCCATTCTGCCATAGTCTCGGCAGCATAAAGTGGTGGTAGTGTTCTTTGCTATGATCGATCTAATAAATCGTAACTTCGTCTCCCAGAGAACTAGCTCAAGTCCGCTTTCTCGCAATGAAAGAGCTTTCGATCGGTGTCCCGGAGTTTTTCGGGGTTTCTGGTGGGGAAACTCGTGTCCTGGGAGCTTGATCAAGTCTCAGAAGTTGATCGAAGTCTCAAGCTTCCATTTCTGAAAGGCCGCCCTGTCCAGGAGCCTCTTCTTCACCGACAAGAGCAGCGTCTCAAACGCGACGACGTCCGTGACACGCCCCTTGTCTCTGATGCTGGTCAGGAGATCGTTGGCCATGTCGAGCTTATCAATCTTGCAAAGCCCATCGAATACCAAGCTGTAAGTCACCGCGTTTGGAGTGCAGCCATCCTCCAGCATCCTCTTCACAAGCCGGCACGCCTCCACCATCTTCCCCGCCTTGCACAGCCCGGTCACCAGCACGGTGTAAGTCACAACGTCGGGCTTGCAACCCCGCGACACCATCTTCTCGAGCAGCGCAAAGCCTTTGTCGACGTCCCCGCACCGGCACAGCCCGTCGATGATGGTACTGTAAGTCACCACGTCCGGCGCACAGCCATGCTCGAGCATGCTGCTCAGGAGCTCGCGAGCTCGGTCCAGATCCTGGGCCTTGCAGTAGCCGTCCACCAGAGTATTGAAAGCCACCACGCTCGCGCAGCAGTCCTTCCGCCCGATCATCTCCTGGAGCAGCTCGTCGGCCTTGCGGAGGTTGGACGACTTGCAAAGCCCGTTGATGAGGATGCTGTACGTGAAAGTGTCCGGCGAGCAGCCAGCGCGCTGCTTCATCTCCTCGAGAAAGCCGTAAGCGCGGTCGATTTCCCCGGACTTGCAGAAGCCATGGATGATTGCGTTGTAAGTCTGGGTATCCGGCGTGGTGGTCATTCCTTGCATCACAAGCACGGCCTCTCCACTACGGCCAGCGCTCGAGAGCCCGTTGATGAGAGTGTTGTAAGTGACGAGGTTGGCAGCGAAGCCACTCCTTTCCATCTCGTCGAGGACTTGCTGGGCTTCGTCGAGCCTCCCGGCCTTGCAGAGTCCGGCTATCAGTGTGTTGAAAGTCACCACGTCCGGCTTGCAAGCTCCATCTTTCATGTTCTTGACGACCTCCATCGCCTCTGGAACTTTGCCCGACTTACACAGCGCGTGGACGAAGAAGTTGTACATGGAAGGAGTGGGAGCCATGCCTGGCTGCTGCTCCATCTCGCGGAGCAAATCCATGGCGGCCTGGAGCTCCCCGGCCAGGCAGTGCGCTCGGACGAGCACAAAGTACGTGTAGTTGTCGAAGAGTGGCGGCGATGGAGGAGACGAAGAGGAGCTTGCCACCGCCATTTCTTCCTTGTAGATCCTGAAAGCCTCCCTGTGTCTACCGCCAGAGACTAGAGCCTCGAGGAGCTTGTTGTAAGTGAAACTGGTGTGGGAGAAGCCCACCTCCGGCCTGGCCACGAATCGGAAGAAGACGCTCGCTAGATCGGCCTCTTTCTTGAGCTGTTCCAGCACGCCCGCGACGAGCCTGGGGCTGCGGAGGACGCGCGCGCAGCCGTTGCTCTGCCGGCCCCACTCCAGCAGCCGCTGCTCGTTCTTGTGCGATCGGAGGAGGCGCACGAGCTGGACTGTGGCGATTGCGATGCTGGGAGGGAGCATGGCGCTGAGATCAGCGGAGAATCATACCTGGTGGGAATCGCCATCCGCTAGAACCCTAGAAATTCTTGCAGCATTCCATTGTTTGTACCCTACTTAAGTTTCATGCCAAGTAGGTGCATGAATTGCTTGGGAAAAATTACATTCTTTCTTCCTTTAAGCGTTAAATGCTGGGTAGAGCAAAGGCTGGAAATGATCTAGCGACGAATTCTTTGTGTCGATCACTCCACTGTTTCACTGCAAGGAAAGAAGAAGAAGAACCAACGCGATCAAACCAAAATCCTCGAAAGAAACATGACAAGAAAGAGTTTTTAGAACCTGCTTCATCGTTGCTCTTTGGCTCTTTAACAGTGGCCGCTCTTTCGATCAGCTTGGGCACTGGAACCAAGATGGTTTGAGCGCGGTGAAGAGGAAAATCAAGCCATACATACCATTCTTTCCGCTGGTGGCATTCACCAATAACGCAGGCAGATTCGTTCTAGTCAGCTGCAAATTTTTCGAGCAAAGTTAGCTCCGATTCTCGTGAAGAGTTCTTTTACCATGGCAGCTAGCTCCGTGGCGAGCGTAGCCGGATCGACGGAGGCCAGGCGCTTGTTGTACGCTGGGGTGTAAGTCTTGCCATCGTAGCCGGCCAGAGAGAGGAAGGCACATTGCTGAGGGCTCAACTTGGTGATCTCTGGAAGAACACCAGAGCTGGAAAAAGGAAACGATGAGATTTTTTTCCAGGAGAATTCGTTTTTGTCACGTACCTGTCAACCGTGACGAGCACAAGAGCTGCTGGGGAGACGAGCTTTGGCACAGCGGCTTTCTGTGTGTTGAAAAATCTCGTGGCTCCAAAGCTAGCATTCCAGAGAACTCCCTCTTCTGGAAAGACCGATGCTTTGATCACGGCCTCGTTCTTGGAGAGGATGGAGTCCGGTCCAGCGACGATTACATGAGAGTCTTTAATGTGGAGTACGCTGAGCAAAGGAAGAACAAATAAAAATGCTCTTGGAGTGAGAATTTTGCTGCAAGCAAACCTGAGAGACGACCATACCGAGCTGTTAGAGGCAGAGCTCCGCTCGCAACGATTGCAGGAGCAGCAAGAGCGGCGATTGCGTCTTTCAGAGCCTTCTCATCGGCGAAAGCTTTTCCACCAACGATCAAGGCCGAGCGATCGTAGTCCGCAGCAATGAAAGGAGTGTTCTCTGGGAGCTCCAACGCTTTGGTCCTGAAGTGATGTTTTCCATAAGCAAATGAAGAGAAAAAACTGATCTTTCTTAGCGTAACTTACTTGTGTGCGGATGCAACGTAGATGGATAGCGCAGACTCTCCCCTTTCAACAGTGGAGCACAGTGTGTCTTTCAAAATCCCCGCAGCCGAAGGATTGTCACAGACTGCTCGAACTTTAACATGCTTGGACGATGCTCCAATGGAACCATCTTGCACAAACAGCTTGCTGCAAGAGGAAAGGTGTTGAGCCACCTAGCACACGATCGTTCCAGCAAGGTTGGAGCAAACAATGAAAGCAAAAATCAAAGAAAGATCCTCTTTGGTACCTCCTTGAATAGCTTGTTAAACTGTGCCTTGCTGATCTCGCTAGCGCCGGTGGAGTAGCTTCCACGGGCAAAAATCTTGGATCCAGAGATAGAGTCTGGAATAGTGATTCTTGCTAGCTGAAAAGCAAATAACCGAGCAGCCTAGAACTGTGACTTGCCTTGTGGACGAGCACCATGATCCTGGAGCTCCGAGTCCTTGAGATTGTCATACACATCTCCAGACGGTGGGATAGCCTTGGCTGAAAGCGCCCAGTTCAAAGTATAGCTCAATCCAACCCTCTCCCTGGAACACAGTCATCACCGAAAAACCCGATTTTCCCGCTATCAAAAACCTTGGGAAGGCGATCGTCTCCACTCCAGCTTCTTTCATAGCAAGAACCCGCGAAAACTGGAACACAAGATCTTCTCAGCGAGTTCCAAGAACCAAGTTTGCGCTTACCGAGCGGTGTCGCCATACATTCCATACGTAGCGCCTAACCCCACGACTCGCCAGCATCTTCCGAACCCGCAACGGAGGTTATGCCTATTTCTTTTCTTTTTGCCTCTTTCCCTTGAAACGAGTCAGTTTCAATTGCGCAAAAAAATTCCATCCTTTACAAAGTAAAACGGAATGGACCTGAGGTTAGAGCTCCTTTGTTCGGGGAAAATTGTTGCTGGTTGTTGTTTTGATCACTTTCTTCTGGTGGGACTGCTCCAGGACCTGCTTGGTTTTTTCCAGGACTCCAAAGAAAATGGAGCCTCCGATGCCAATCCACATCACTCGCGGACCGATTCCCTGCGTAAATAGTTTGTTTTCTAACTCCAAGAAGCACTAGAGCTTACTTTGGTGAGTGCTCCAGCTCCTTCTTCTTGGACGATCTTCTGGACGCAATCGACTATGCCTTTGTATGCGTTTGATTTTCCCTGGAGGATTTGCAAAGTCCATGATTTCAAGTCCTTGAAGTCGCCGAAAAGCTTACCTGGATCATGAGGCGTGTTTTGATGACGTCCAGGGGCGTAGTCAAGGCACCCGTTAATGCCCCTGGAAAGACGTCTCAGAACAAAAAAGTAGAAGGAAACACGAGAGATCTTGCTCACCAGCGAAGGCTCCGACAAGAGCTGTTTCGGAGTCATAGAGATCTCGTCTGGCCTGATAGACAACAACGAAAGATTAAGCTGCTTAACTCGTAACTCATAAGTAATTTACCATCTTTTTGTAGCCGATCTTAAGTTGCTCGTAAATGCAAAACTGGATCGCGTCGAAAGGCAGGTCTCGCAACAAGAAGGAACCAAATCCCTGCACCGGGGAACCACAGTTTTCTTAAGATAGCGACTTCAATCGTAAAATATTAAATATTTTACCGCATAGAGGCCCCGGAAACCTTCGTTGCTCACAATACTCCGGACAGCTATGTGAGCCCTTGGAAACTCACGAGTTTGCATCCTTTGTTTCACCACCTGAGATGTAAACGAAGAAGAAAATATTGAAAAGCTTGATTTCTTCGCGTTACCTCGGTGGGCACACGGACGAGAGATGCTGCAAGTCCTCCGGTAGCACCAGCCGTCTGTGGAGGAGGAAAACTCGATAGGTAAAAGAAGAAGCAAGCTTACAAGCTTACCAAGTGAGCGATGGAACTTAAATGATCTGGAAGGCATTCTTCCAGCTTCCGTTTCACAGGCTCGTAAACTCCAACAAAAATCGCGGACGCCCTGAAGAAAACCACGAAGCCAAATCATTCCAGTTTTCCAGTAAAGATTTTCTTACGGTAGAACTCCCAGGAGGTTCCCGGCTAGACCCGAATACAGGCCTTTTAGCACGATCTTCCCGCTCGTTCGAGCAGCCTGTTTGGTACATGCATTGAATGAAAAGAGAAAAAAAGTAAGGCTAGGAGTGAAGTAGAAAAAAAAACAAAGAGATTAGAGCTTTCCTGGAGTCGAGTTTTGATAGTGTCAATCGGATAGAGCACGGTTTCAACGACAACTCCAGCAGTGGCTCCAGCAATCGCTCCCTCTTTTCAAAGAGAGAAAAATATAAAGGTAAACGAAAAAAAAAAGAAAAAAAAAAGAAAAAAAGAGCTTCACACACCTATGATAACTTGAGCGAAATTGATTTGCTTTCTCGAAGGAATCGCGGTCGTGGCTGTTCCAGCGCGCGTTTCAATAGCTGGAAACACAAAACCAGAATTAGAGCTCCTTCTCTGCCGTCGAGCACTCACATTTCGATTCTTCCATGGCGTGTTGGATAATCCAAGGCACGCCGCTCCAATGCCCCAATCCTGTGAAGCGCCGGGCGCGGATTTGTCACGGATTGACCTAAAATCCGTGAGAGAGGGAAGAGAAGCGCGCAGAGAGCCCTTGCGGTTTTGGGTTTTAAACAGATGTGGTAAAGATTCAACGGATATGCCGCTCTCATTTTAGGGTTCTTTCGATCGATCGATCGAATGGTGCGCCAGTGCGAGCACTGCGGGGAGAGGCGCCAGGCGCTGCGACGGCCAAAGACTGGACACAAGGTGAAATTTCAATCATATTTCTCGCCAAGGTGTTGATTCCGAGGCGATCGTCCAGGTTTGCCGAGAATGCTTCTTTCAATTGCTCGAGGATGAAGTTCACGAGACGATCACGCAAAATCAACTGTTCAAGAAGGGGGAGAGGGTCGCAATGGCAGCGTCTGGCGGCAAAGGTAGAGAGTTTTAGTCCATCTTTTCTAGCACTGTTTATTCCTTCTTCTAGATTCTACTGTGCTTGCGCATATTCTCTCGGAGCTTAATACGAGGCACGACTATGGACTGGATCTCTTCTTGTTGTCCATCGACGAGGGAATTTCCGGCTATCGGGATGACTCCCTCGAGACTGTCAAGCGAAACGAAGTCCAGGTAGATTTTCACCATGTCCATTTTTTCTTGCGTTCTTACGTAAGTTTCTTTTGTTCTTTTGTTTTGCTCTCTCTTGCAGTATGGCATTCCTCTGAAGGTCTTGTCCTACAAAGAGCTTTACGGGTGGACCATGGATGAAATCGTCAAAGAGATTGGACGCAAGAACAACTGCACCTTCTGCGGTGTATTCCGGCGACAGGTAGATCCTTTTTTGTTTTTCTATCTCTCTCTCTCTCTCTCTCTCCAAAGCTACAGAGACTTGGCTCGTTTTTTCGCAGGCCTTGGACAGAGGAGCGGCTCTGATGAAGGCTGACAAAATGGCAACCGGGCACAACGCGGATGATATGGCTGAGACAATTTTGCTCAATCTGTTACGAGGCGACATTGCTCGGTATGTTTAGCAGCTCCACTTTCGTTCCGTTTTCTCGTTGATTCGAAGAGAACTTGACTATTGCCAGGACAGCTTAAGTCGATGTACCGCTATAATGACAGGTGAAGAGGGTGCCTTACCACGGTGCAAGCCTTTCAAGTACACATATGAGAAAGAGATCGTCATGTATGCGTACTTCAAGAAGCTTGACTATTTCTCCACAGAATGTGAGGATTTTCTTTCAGCAGTAGTTCGAAAGTAACCAGCGTACTTTGGCTTGCAGGTATTTACTCGCCGAACGCCTACCGAGGGTATGCCCGAGACTTTATCAAGGACTTGGAGGCTATCAGGTCATGGACTTTACCATTTTTCCTTTGTCACTGCTCACTCTTGACTATTCAGACCTCGGGCGATAGTTGACATAATTAAGTCTGGAGAGGACTTTAGAATTTCATCCACTGCTAGGATGCCAGTCCAAGGCGTTTGCTCTCGGTGTGGATACATTTCTAGCCAGGTAAGTGTCTTTTTTCTTCTTCTTTCAAGCAACTATCTATATCACGCTTTTAAAATTTTCGCAGAAACTATGCAAGGCATGTGTACTGCTCGATGGTTTAAATCGCGGACTTCCAAGGCTGGGCATTAGCAGAACTCGAGGCATCAAGAGTACAAACGGCGTCGCAGACATTGACGAGAAATCAGCGGTGGCGGGGGCTGTTGGCAACGGATTTTCCAAAAAACTAAGCCTGGAATTCTGAGAGTCATGTGACGGGAGGTACGTACTTTGTAAATCTCGGACTTCTATACTCTTTCTACTTGGTCATGTTGATTGCAGTGCAAACTAGTGAAAACTAAGAAGAAGAAGATGAAGAAGCACGACGCAGCTTTGATCGTCCGGATCGAAATCGATGACAAACCAATCTAGAGACGTGATCCTCGCATCCAAAATGACGATGATGAAATCAAACGGACAGAGCCGAGAGGAAGCTAGGATTGAATCGTATCGTCCTAGAGTTCATCATCAAGCACACCAGGAAAAAAGGAGAGAAAAAAACGATCTTGTGAAAGTCCTTTGGCGATGGTGGCGATGGTGGCCAGCGATTGACGAAGATGGGCGAAGGAAAAATGGCGTCGGGGGTTCGAATCCCAGTCGCGAGACAAAGTATGCTATTTTAATATTTTCAGTGTGTAGAGGAGAGTGAAGTGTGTGTAGTAGCATGGACCGTTTCCAGAGTGAGCCCTCCCTCGGTAGTACTTTGATGAGAGAGAGAGAGGAGTTCTAGCGCGCCTGGATCATTCGCTATAGCTCGCCCCCACGCTGCGTGATGATTGAGGACGATGATTCTTACTGCTAGATCGCATGGCGCGGCGTGGCCTTCTTTGGCGCCGGCGCGCGGCGGAGTAGCGGGCGGAGCGCCGCTAGCGACAAATGTAGATTGAGCTTATTCTTCCTTTCCTCGCTCTTCTTTCTTCGATGCGCCCGCTCGCCGCCGCCGCCGGGGCGATCGCCCGGCGCTGGATTAGGTCTGCTGCCTCGCATCTTTCTTTCCTCCTCCTCGCAAGGTCTTAGGCGAGCGGAATTTCGGAGAGCGATGGGAGGAGAGCTCCTGGCGTGATGGCACGGGGCAATGGATCGGTCGTAGCAGCGGCGTCTCTAGCCATAGAATGGATGATCCTCTCCTTTTTGTGACGAGCAGGAATAGCAGCGATGACGATTACAAAGATCCGGCGCCTTTCTTCCACGGGGCCGGTTGCGCGATTGGTCTGGATTGCCGCCTATCTCAGCGTCACGCTCGCGGCTCTCATGTCGACCTATTTCTTCCCAGCGCTCCATTCCCTGCTCCTGGCCAGCAAGGAGCAGCGATTTCCAGCCGCGATTGGGGATCTTGGCGGGGCGCAGCAGCAGCAAATTCATGGCCGCGATCCCATGAAGTGGACGTGGGAGGAGGCGCCTCTCCATTTCTTTCGAGGAACAAAGCAGGATTCGAGCTCCAGTCTTGACAAGAAGGTAAGCTAAAAGAAATTTGGTTGTGCTTGTTCTTGATTAATAGTTTCTCTCTTTGTTTTGCCTTTTGTGTGCTGGTTGGATGGATTTTAGCTGTGGAAGCACCCACCAAACCGGGGATTTGTGCCTTGCGTGTTGCCGAGCCGGAAGTATAAAGGTTTGTGTCAATCAATTCCAATTGTTTAAAGAAGCACGAGTTGATGGTGGGGGGTCTTTGTTTTTATTGTGCACTCGCAGCTAGCAAGGGGCCATCAAGAGGCTTCTTGGTCGTCCAGAGCAATGGAGGATTGAATCAGATGCGCGCTGGGGTAAATTGCTGGGAACTGGTCACTTGGTTTTGACAGCTTTGTTTTTTCATGCTAGATTTGCGACATGGTAGCAGTAGCGAGAATTTTGAACGCAACCCTCGTCATTCCGGAGCTGGACAAGCGTTCCTTTTGGCAGGATTCTAGGTGAGCGAAAATTTTCGTGCTTGACTAGTGCTTCAAGAACCCACGAATTTTCTTTTTTGGTTTCGTGCAGCAAATTTTCAGACATCTTTAATGAGGACTACTTCATAGAGGCACTAGAGCAGGATGTAGATATTGTCAGGAAGCTGCCCAAGGAGGTTGCCGACCTTCCGAAGTCTCGCAAGCAGTTTAGGAGCTGGTCCAACGTGAAGTATTACGAGGAAGAAATTGCTCCCTTGTTCGACGAATACCAGGTATGCTTCTCATTCAATCAACCAAACCGATTCCGCAACCTCTGTTCAATCCAGGTTATTCGTGCGGTGAAGTCGGACTCGCGGCTAGCGAACAACGGTTTGCCGGGTGACATACAAAAGCTCCGGTGTCGAGTTCACTATGACGCGCTTCGTTTCTCCTCTCGCATAGAGGAATTCGGAAAGGCAGGCTGAGTCGAGTTTGCTAGATTGTGATCTAAGTCGTGTGCTGTCGAGCAGATGCTCGTGGACAGGATGAGGATGCACGGACCGTATATTGCTTTGCATCTTCGCTACGAGAAGGATATGCTAGCCTTCAGCGGCTGTACGCATGGGCTTACTCAAGACGAGTCAGATGAGCTTGCAGATATACGGTACGATTAAGAATTCTCCTTTTCGTGAGAAAGTTGTTTTAATCCGGCATTTTTGCCCCAGGGAGATCACAGCCCATTGGAAGGTAAAGATTATAAATGCCACGGAGCAGCGAGCCAAGGGCTTCTGTCCTTTAACACCCAAAGAAGTTGGCATTTTCTTGCAAGCGCTAGGATACCCTTCGGCGACCCGAATTTACGTTGCGGCAGGAGAGATATATGGTGGGAACGAGCGAATGCAGGAGCTACAGGCACGGTTTCCAAACTTGATGAGAAAGGTAATCTACATTCTTGCGTTTCTTTTTAGTTCTTCCTTTGTTCTTATATATATTTTTTGTGGAATAGGAAACAGTTGCTACGCCGGCCGAGCTCGCACAATTCTCGAGGCATGCATCGCAAATGGCGGCTTTGGACTACATCATGTCAGTCGAGGCTGACGTCTTCGTGCCATCCTACTCGGGAAACATGGCCCGTGCAGTGGAAGGCCACAGGAGGTATCTCGGTCACCGAAAGACGATAATACCAGACAGGCAAGTTGGCCGCTCGTAAAGCTTCTCGTGAGCAAAATCCTTCTGACGGGCTTTGCTGCTTTTTCTCTTTTCCGTGTTTCACCAGGAAAGCGCTGGTCGATCTGATCGGCAAGACCGAAAGTGGTGTGCTCGAGGACGCGGAGCTGTCAAAGAGGATCATAGACATCCACAAGCGCAGGTTTGGATAAAAGATCTCACCACTTGCTACTCCCTCTTTTCGCTTTCGCTCCTGGGCTTTTGATGAAAGCTTTTTCTCTCGTCTCTTTTTTCGTAGGCAAGGCGCTCCTAGGAAACGAAAAGGCCCTGTCGTGGGTAGCAAAGGCAAGGACCGCTTCCGGACCGAGGAAGCGTTCTACACGAATCCTCTCCCGGACTGCCTGTGCAATAAGAACTCCGACGACGACAACGCTAGCTCGCAACAGCAACACACAAACTACACAATCGACGCTGTAAGTAATCACCACCCCCAACTCGAATAGAAGTAAGTGTCAATGTTTTTTCTTCCTTCTCTCTTTCCTTTCGAGAGAGAAACCATTGAAAAGAACAGAGAATTTTGATGATCAATCTCTTCGAATCCTAGCTCTTGTTTGGCGGCCAGGGATAAAATTTAATCGAAAGTTATGATGCACAACCATGGATAGTTTGAGTTTGATTTTTCTTCCCTGGTTGGAAGTTTCTTCCAAAATGGAGGCTTGGAGGAATTAAACGTTTGGCAGGACGCGCCATTGTGTCCACGTGGCGTGCTCTCACTGGACTGCCACTTCATGAGCTCGAGGGTTTGGTTTTTTCTCATTCAAACACGCGCATTTTTTTGTTATGGAAGTCTTCCATCGTATCGCAGCGCCACAGGGAGGTGAAGGCACTGGCGCATCGATTTGTCAGGAATTCCATGTTGCGAGGAGCGCTAATCGAGGCGATCGCCGTGTCTAGTTGCGTGATTCACAGCATTGCTGTCATCGCCAACGCTAGGGGCTGTGGTGAGTGATCTGTGGCGCAATATAAGGCGGTGCTGGGATCTGGGAGCGGCATTCTGGGGGAATTGGCATGGGATCCGCCGAGAATGGGCAGGATCATCGCGAGGAGCTGGAGGCTAGGGGAAAGAAGCGGAGGAAGGGTTTGCGCCGCCGGCTATGGAGTTGGGCGGTGCTGGCGGCGCTGGTGGCGATCTTCGCAATGAGCGTGACTGGGACGTCTCCTAAGTTTTTCAACTACAGGGCGTACTTCCCGTGCCCTTGGCCGCATCACGTAAGTCCTTTCTAGAGAATGCTGGAAAAATTCTTCTCTTCTTTCATTCTCACTGCTAGAATTTTTTGCCTATAGAATTCGCAGAAGCTCTCTGGAGTTGTGGAAGACTGCCAGTGTGACTACAAAACCGTGGACACCATCAACGAGGAAGTTCTTTTCCCTGCGCTCCAAAGCCTTGTAAAGAAGCCATTCTTTCGATACTTCAAGGTGATCGATCGCTAGTTTCGTTGTTCTTCCTTGTTTTTCTTACGTTCTTCTCGTCCCAGGTGAAACTTTGGTGCGATTGCCCGTTCTGGCCGGACGATGGTATGTGCCATCTCCGCGACTGTAGCGTTTGCGAGTGCCCGGAGAACGAGTTCCCCGAGACTTTCAAACGGCCGAGTGGCCAACTTTCGCCAGCGGATCCAAAGTGTCAAGAAGGAAAGCCACAGGCCACTGTGGATAGAACGCTAGACAACCAAGCTTTCCATGGCTGGACCGAAGCTGACAATCCCTGGACGTATGACAACGAAACAGACAATGGTATGTGTAGCACCACCTCTTTCATCTCACTCGCTTTCTTTCCAGCGGAGATGACGTACGTAAATCTCGTGCTGAATCCCGAGAGATACACTGGCTACATCGGTGCATCGGCTCACCGCATCTGGGACACGATCTACAAGATGAACTGTTTCAAAGGTACAAAAGTTCGTTTGTTTACTCAGGTCGCTCCAAATGCTCTGATTGTTTTTCTGTTTTGATTTTGATAGACGCGCACAAGGATGTCTGCACGGAGAGGCGGATCCTCTACAAGCTGATATCCGGTTTGCATTCCTCTATCTCTGTCCATATAGCATCCGATTATTTATTGGATGAATCCACAAACCACGTACGTAGTTTCTTTTTTCTTTATTCTAACGCACGTCCTTGCATCAAACAGAACGTTTCACACTCGTTTTTGTATTGTTTCTCTCTGCAGTGGGGGCCGAATTACACTCTCCTTCATGAGCGTGTGGTGCAATACCCCGACCGTGTGAAGAACCTCTATTTCGTCTATCTCTTCGTGCTTCGAGCAGTAAACAAGGTAAGTTTTTTTCTTGTTTCAAAACTTGCCAGAGGATTTTTTTTCTATCGTGGATTGTCTGACCGAGTAGGCCTCCGCGTTTCTTGCTCAAGCCGAGTACAGCACTGGCAACACGATCGAGGACGCCACAACGCAGTTGCTGATTAAGGACTTGGTCACAAGCCAGCGGCTGCTAAACTTGTGCCCGGTTCCTTTCGACGAGGCACAGCTGAGAAGCGTGGATGGAGGGGAGCTCAAAAGCCATATCCAAGAGCATTTCCGGAAAATCAGGTTTGATCGTTGTCCATTTTTTTCTCTGCGTGTTTTGCGTTGCTTGGCGATCCTGACCACCATTTTTTTTTTTTCGCAGTGCCCTTATGGACTGTGTTGGATGTGAAAAATGCCGCTTGTGGGGGAAACTCCAGACACTTGGTCTAGGCACCGCCCTCAAGATTTTGTTCTCGGAAGAAACGTCGCCGCATTCGGTATAAACTTCCTTCTTCCTCTCTCTTTTGTTGTCAAGAGCGTAGAACTTACGCTCTTTTCTTCTTCCTCGCAGCTCAATCTCCAAAGAAACGAAGTGATCGCGTTGATCAATCTCCTCTCTAGACTGTCAGAGTCTCTAAAGTTTGTGAACGATTCGCTACTCCAGAACAAAGTCAAGGGCCTGGGCTCGCGCGATATGTGAGCTCTCGCTCCCTCTGGAGCAGCGCGAACGAATTCTAAGAGGACAAGAGAAAAAATTTTGAGCACTACCTAGAACTGGAATTTAGCAAAGCTAACAAATAAATACCGCTAAACTTTTAAACTAGCTCTTAAAGGAAAACGAAATTAACTGCCACGTGTGCCCTAATCGCCCGGGGCCAGGGGTTAGTTGTGGCAAAGCCCTTTCGTTCGAGCGTCTCCGCCGCGATTTCTCCTCCTTTTTCTCTGGCCGGATCCAATGTCTCACGTGTAAGTTTTCCATCTAGAACAAGAAAGAGAAGCAAGAAAGAATGAAAGATTTCTGTGACTTTGCCGCAGAACGTATGATAATCTGTGGGAGGACGCAATGCGGGAGCTTGTGTCTGTTTTGAAGCTGGAAGTTCCAACTTACACATTCCAGGGACCTCAGGCAGCTTCTCCTTTTCCTTCGCTACATTCTAGCAGCTTTGCATCGCTCTTTCTCAATCTTTCTTTCTTTCTTGCCGCAAGAACCTGGTGGACTATTGTCGGATTTACGTCAAGTACTCGAAAGCTTACAAGCTTCTCGAGGAATGCTCCGACATGGTTGTGCTCTCTCATTTCTTTTTCTGTTTGGTTGCGCTGCTAAAGTAAACTCTTTCTAGCTAGTCCATCCTCAAAAACGCATGGACTGCATGAAGACGCTCGAGGCAGTGGTCGGAAGGATATTGGAGATCAAGCACGTAAGTTCGAGGTGGTTTTGGGACGCTAACTTTTCAAAGAGTTGTGATTTTCAGTGGATGGTGCATATGAACACTGGAAAGGAAGTCATCAATCTTGAAGACACCTTGGTAGGAACTCCTTTTTCTTCTTCATCTCTCTCTCTCTTTTCCTTGATCGTTTCCTTTTGCTTTCAGGTGAACATGACGTTGTCTCCAGACACTGTGGAGATCATTCCTCCGCGGCACCTAGTGAATGACAATGCCAAAAATCTCGAAATCCGGGAGAAGTTTCTGGTTCGTTCTTGAGAGGTTTTATAGTCTCAAAGTCGCTCTTAACGAGCTACTCGCTAGCTGTCCAGCATAAAGTGATGGAGAAGCACCGAGCCGAGAAAGAGCTCGAGGAACAAGCCAGAAAAGAGGCCGAAGAGAAGAAGAGAAAGAAAGAGGAAGAGGCCAAAGCTCTAGAGCAAGTGTTCGAAGAAGAGAAAGAGAAGGAGGAAGTGGTGGATCCATTCAAAGACTTTCCATTCCCGCCATATACTCCAGAGCAGGCAATCGCGCTATTGCAGGTTAGTGGCTGTTTCCTATGATTTTGTTCTTGAATTAACTTTCATTTTCTTTGATCAAGTGTCTAGGCTAATGAACGGGGGAGACAAGCACGAGAGCGTGTCAATCAGATGGCAAAAACACGGTCCTTTTCCCTCCCTTGTTTTCCTTTTTTTTTTTCTCTCTTTCGTTTTTCTTCTGGTTTTGATTTCTCGTTTCTTCTACAGCATTGTGCAAGAAGAAGCTTTGAAGAAGCAACAAGCTGGACATGAACCATTGTCTTCGGAAGCTGCTGCCATTAGAATGCAATCTGCGTATCCTTTTCCATGGTTTTCCTTCTATCGAGAGTTATTTCTTACACGTCGTTTCTTAACTCCACCAAAGTGCTCGAGGCTTTCTCTTTCGCTGCCGAGTCAAGCATGATGCAAACAATGAGATGTCATTACTTAGTACGTAAGGAGTTCTTTACCCAGGCAGATACTAATTCTCTTTGCATGCAGATATAAATCCTTTTGCTCGCTCCGCTGCTCAAGACACGGCTTTTGGACGCCTCAGGGAGATACAGCTCAAGAGACGAAGCATCCAGCTTCTAAACTATGACGAATATCTGGACGCAATGAGGATAGCGAAGGAGCAGCTCATCGACCTCGAGGGCCAAGAGATGAGGGAGATCATCCAAGAGAGCATAAACAAGTGGCTGAACGACCACCGCGACCCGGATACAGGCTTTTTCCCTCCGTTTCCAAAGGCAGGCGATGGAGGCAGCAAGTATATTGTGCAGCCGCCACCCAAGCTCGGCTTCCATGTCGAGGAGAAGAAAGGCAAGAAGGAGGATAAGAAAGAAGGGAAGAAAAAGAAGGCCAAAGGTCCTCCAGTTCCTCCTCATCCAATTCTTCCAGAAGAAGATCCGGAGAAGCCACCATCCTGTCCGAAGTTTTTCCTTCGGCACGTCCGAGAGTGCCTGGAACTCTACACTCGCAACTGGCACGACAAAGATAACTCTGCCGATTTAACTCAAAAGCACGACATGGAGATGCTCAAGTCACACCTCCGGCCCATGGTCTTTGAACAGGTAGAGCCGATCTTTACTTCTTTTCTATTCGGTGTTTAACGTTGAGCTCACAGATTCGACTCGAAGTTGACGAAACTACGAGAGTAATCTTAGACAAGGTCAAGCAAAAGATAGTTGCGGAGCTCAAAGCTGCTCGAAAGAAGCAAAAAGGAGACGCAGCCAAGCCCGAGAAGAAAGAAGCCAAGAAGGACGACGCCGACGAGGCGGCGCCACCTCCAAAGAATAAGCCAAAGAAACTCAAGGACACATCGGCTCAAAGAACTATCGAGTCTTTGTATGCAGAGCTCGCCAAGGCCGGCATCATCCAAGCTTATCCCAAGAGAGACTTCTCCGAGTTCGTGGCAACGGACAGCTTCTTTGGGACCAACTTCGAAATGGATCCCGTTGGATTGGATCCTTCCATGTCTCAGGTATGCTCACAAGTTCCATTTTCTCTAAAGGTTTCTATCGCTGTTACACAGGTGAAGAGGCTGGCTATGGAGTACTGTGTCTTTCCTTTGGTCAGTGACTTCGTCCATGAGCACGCACCCTTCATCAAGTCAGTCCTTCTCTACGGTGGAAGCCTCAATGGGAAGAAGCTCTTGGTAAGCTTTTTCTTCTCTTTTCCTTGACCGTGCAGTAGTTTCTGTAGGTCCATGCAGCATGTCGAACGGCGGGAGCTACGTACATAAATCTCTCGCCGGAAGTTACAGACGGACAGTATCCAGGAAAACAAGCCACCAAAATGCTGCAAATGGCTTTCAAGATTGCGAGAGTCATGGCACCATCCATAGTTCACGTAGACGGGGTTGAAAAGGTGAAAACTCGTTAAAGTTTTGAGCCTGATGAAGAAACACCTGTTTTTTTTTCCTTGCAGCTTTTTGTCACAGACAAAAAAAAGCTCAAGACTTATGGTTTGAAAGACAAGGCCAACCGATACAAGAAGCCTCTGTTGAAGGAAGTCCAAGGCATTAGGCCAGGCGATCGTGTGATGTTCGTAGGAACATCTTCGAGTCCTCAGGTAATTGTTTTCGTGTCAAACGCAAAAGTTCGGTTTTCATGATCTTTGTTTTACTTCGATCAGGACTCGCCAGGAAAGCCTCCGGCACTGGCCAACTTCTTCAACAAGCGGATCTACGTTCCATATCCCGACCATGGCTGCCGGTCATCGCTTTGGCGAGCTCTGATCGAGAGACACGGTGGTCGCGTCACGGACCGCTTCAACCTCTCCACCATCTCTCACGTCTCCGAGGGCTACAGCTCGGGAATGATCGAGCAGTTTTGCAAGGCGGTCCTGACCGAGAAGCGCAAGCGCAAGGTGAGGAGCAAGCCTCTGGCGATCGACGAGTTCACGACGCTCATCTACGACACGAAACCCGTGGATCCAGAGGTGCATCAAGTGCTCAGGGTGAGCAACCTCTCATTCTTTCTTTCCCATTCTAGTTCTTCCAAGGTTCTTCCATAGTTCTCATAAAAATCTGGTTTTGCAGGAATGGGCCAAGCCGAAAGCGGTGGATCCAGCCGCTGCGCAAGATCCCAAAGCAGCAAAAGGCGGCAAGAAGAAGTGATCCAAGAGGTTCTTTGTTTCGTATCTCTTTTTTTCTTCTCGATTAGTTGCCAAACGATGTTTATTGCGAGAACTTAGCTCTCCAAGTTCTTGTGAGTTTCGCAAAGTTCTTTCCAAGGATAGGATTGTAAAGGCGAGGTTTTTGACCGGGCCAAAGTCAAATCCTTCTGGACAAACGCGCTTGTGAGAGCGCTCCATTTTTTTCTACGTCGCAAGAAAGACGAAGGCTTCCTTTCCATATAAAAAAGTAAGCCTGTTCCTCCAAATCTTTGTCCCTGCCTCGACGAAAAACCATGGCGATCGCTCCTCGCAGCATTCTCCCCCTCCTCCTCTGCGTTCTCATTGCTTCCTTCCACTCGTCCTCGTCCAGCGACGTCAAATTGGGCTACTGGCTGGCATCGCGCCCAATCGTCTCGTCCGCCAATCTCCACCTCTACACACACCTCACATACGCCTTCGCGCAGCTGGATCCCTCCTTCCAGATCTCCCCCCAGCCCGACGACAATGGCAACATCGCCCAATTCACGCCCGCCGCGCGCGCGCTCAATCCCGCCATCGTCACGCTCATCGCAATCGGCGGCGGCGGATCCAACAGCACCCGCTTCGCGGAGATGGCCGCCGCCCCATCCTCCCGCGCCACATTCATCAACAGCTCCATCGCCCTCGCGCGCGCCAATGGATTCCACGGCCTCGACCTCGACTGGGAGTTTCCCCAGTCCCAGCGCGAGATGTCCGACCTCGCCGCCCTCTGGGCCGAGTGGAGGGCCGCCATCCAAGCCGAGGCCACCGCCACGAGCCGCGCGGCACTCCTCCTCACCGCGGCGGTATACTACCGTGCCACGGTACAGAACGTGGGCGCTGGCACTTACCCGGTCGACGCGGTCAACGCAAACCTTGACTGGGTTGGACTCATGGCGTTTGACTACCACGGCGCGTGGGATCCCACCACGGTCGGGCCGCATACCGCGCTGTACAACCCGGACAGTAGCGTCAACACCGACGCCGGCGTCACGTCGTGGCTGGGCCAGGGGCTCCACGCGGACAGGGCCGTACTTGGGCTGGCCATGTACGGCCGGTCGTGGATCCTGGCTAGTAACGAGTCAACGGGCATTGGTGCCGCGGCGGTAGGGGTGCCGGCCGACAGCACGCCGTTCTTCCGGGACATCGTCAGCTTCATCCGCGACAACAATGCCACCGCGGTGTACGACAACACGACCGTCACGGCCTACTGCTTTGGCGGCGGTGTGTGGATTGGATTCGATAGCCCGGTGTCCATCGCCACCAAGGTGGAGTACCTCAAGAGCAGGGCTTTGAAGGGCTATTTCTTTTGGACGGCGGGCTATGATTCTAGCACCGGGGCTCTCGCCAATGCTGCCTCGGCGACGCTGGATTCACGGTAGCTCTTTCGAGAGGATTGGAAAGATCTTCAATTGATCGATCGATCGCTCATGGATTTGATTTGAGTGTGTAGAGACGATTCGGGTAGCTCTTTCGAGAGGATTTGGAGAGATCTTTGATTGATCGATGGCTCATGGATTTGAGCGTGTGTAGAGACATTCTTTTACACAAATTCTACTTTGGCTTCTTCTTCTTTGTCTTCGCCATGACCGAAGCTTGGTAACGCTTGGGTGTTTTTGCTGGAGTGCACGTCACTTTCTCTTGCCAATCATCGAGAATTATGCTATGCTCCACTAGAAAAGCTCCACAAATTTATAAAATTCCAGGACTAAAAGAGCCAAGACTTGATTCATCGTGGTGGAAGTTTTGCTACGCTGTGTAAAAGTCAGCGAAAGTTTCACGAGTTGATCGTGGTGGATCTTCCACTAGTCCATCGGAGAAGACCTCTTACCAGTTGCGTGCGCTGATTTGCTCCTCTCCGGCTATAAATTCTCTCGATCACGATCACGATCCAGAAAGTCTAGAGAACGAGATGGAAAAGAGAAGCTTGGCCTCGATCTTCCTCGCTTTCCTCGTTGTCGCCAGTGATCACTACGCTGCAGTCTCGGCATTCCCGGCCCAAGATCCTTGGAGAAAGAATGATCCCTGGAACTGGCACTATTTCCCCAGGAACACCAAGGTGGTGAGGGTGGCCTACTGGCCGGCATACTCCGCCGATCAGTACCCGGCCTCGTCCATCGACTCCACGCTCTTCACGCACCTCAACTACGCCTTCGCCAATCTCAACGCCAGCGACAACACCGTCGTCCCCGACGATGCCGCGCGGATCGCCGCCTTCTCGCGCACCGTCAAGTCCCGCAACCCGTCGCTCAAGACGCTCCTCTCCATCGGCGGCGGCGGAGCCGATCCAAAGGCCTTCTCCGCAATGGCGTCCAAGGCCTCGTCCCGCGCGGCATTCATCTGGAGCTCCATCGCGCTGGCGCGATCAAACGCCTTCGATGGGCTGGATCTCGACTGGGAATTCCCGCAGAACCAGACCGACATGGACAACCTGGGCACCCTCTTCGCCGAGTGGAGATTCGCCGCGGCCGCGGAGGCCGGCCACTCGGGCCGCCCGCGCCTGCTGCTTACCGCCGCGGTATACTACTCGGGTACCATCAGGTACGGACTCACACCGCGCGGTACCGCAAGTTACACATTGACTGCTCTTTGACTTTTTCCAGGTTCGTGGGAGGAGGAACGTACCCCACGAAATCGATCAACGCCAACCTTGACTGGGTCGGGCTCATGGCGTTTGACTACCACGGCAGCTGGGAGCCGACTGTGACCGGCGCCCATACCGCGCTGTACGACCCGAAGAGTGACGTCAACACCGCCGCCGGTGTCGCGCGGTGGATGGCGGCGGGGCTGAGGCCGGACAAGGGAGTGCTCGGCCTGGCAATGTATGGCCACTCGTGGATTCTCAGTGACCCCAGCGCCAAGGCTGGAATCGGGGCCCCGGCAAAGAGTCCCGGGCCGGGCGACGCGACGCCAGTGTTTGCCGGGATCGTGGCGACTGTTAGCGGCGACGACAAGGCGACGGTGGTGTATGACAATGTGACCGTCACGGCCTACGCGCAAGTTGGAAGCTTGTGGATTGGATTCGACAACGAGGAATCCATCCGGAACAAGGTGGGCTTCTTGCGCAGCAAAGGGATGAGAGGATACTTCTTCTGGACGGCCAGTTTCGATAGCGGCAATGGGACGCTCTCTCGCGCGGGTTTGATTCCTTGTCTTTCTCCTTTTGTTTGTTCTTGATCCTTTGCTCATCGTTTGCGCTTGTCTTTTATTTAGCTGCGGCAGCGCTGGGACACTAGCCATGGCGATATCCAAGACGAAAGAGGAGAAAAACGAGAGAGATTTTGCTCATGAGCTTGTAGAAATTACCATTGAGGAAGATGATGGAATAAAGTATCTACTGTGAGATTCTAGGGTTTTAGGGTTCCAAGAGGGAAGATGATCGATTGTAGGGCCGCGCCCGCGGCGGTCTTCTTGGCCGTCTTGATCCTGCAGCTCGCAATGCAATTCCTCCACCAGGTGTGTGGAAATCGCTCTGTTGTTGTGTCTGTCCAATGCGGCGATTGTTTTGCTCCAGGCGAGCAAATCGAGCCAGCAAGAAGCTAGGCTCGTCTCTGAGATAAGGAGTTTGCTTCGGGAAGCGAATGCCTTGGCAGGGTAAGATCTTTCGCTGCGATTTTTCTTGAGCGGGAATTTTTTATTTTTTTTGTTTCTTGGAGCTCAGGCCATCGACCTTCGCTCAATCTGCCAAGCTAAGGCGCGCGGCCAATGCGAAAGAGAAGGAGCTCTCGCAGAGTAAGATAAAGGGAATGTGATCGAGTCGCTCATACAGTGAAATCGTTTTTTCTACCAGTAAGGATAGAGGCCAAGGGAAAGAATGCGTCGACAAAACTGGTACTCTTCGTCGTGAAGGTATGGAGTGCTTGCGAAGATTTTGCTTAGCTCCAACACTGCTTTTCAGGCCTGCTTCTACTGCGCTTTTGTCTGGTGGTTTTGGCAAACTCCCGTGGCATCGGTACCAGCGCATCTCGTGCAACCCTTTGGTTCGTATCTTGCTTTGCTTACTTTGCTTCGTCACTCTCGGCTTTTGTAGGAAAAGTTTTGAGTTTCCCATCCAAGGTTTCGGAGGCACAGTCGCTTGTACAGGTCTGGAAAAGTCTGTGGAGAAAGAAATCTAAAACCATTGATGTTTTGCAGATTGGTATTCTCCCCTGGCTTGTGCTAAGCACACGCGTGAGCTTGTCTATAGCGAACGCTGTTCTATCCAAGTAACGGTGTCAAGAGGTGTATAAATTTCGGAAGAACATAGAAGAAAAAATCAGCTTTTCTGATGATCAGCTTACTGGCTTTCGAACTAAAACGCAACGCACTTGTCAGGCTCACCCGTGACGAAGTCCACCACGACAGTCTCAGTGATGTTACACGGCAGCACATCTTGCCTCAGGCTCGCTCCGGCAGCTTTCAGCCCCTTCAGCGACGCTACCTGGTTGAAGAGGTTGATGACAGGGAGCTTGGAAGCCGACGGTAGTCTTTGCAGAGGCAGCAGCTTCCAGAAATCGTCCGTCATCAGTGGCACCTCAAAGTCGCTCCTCTTGTGCTCCACAACGTTGTCCGACGAGTTGATGTGCGCGCCGGGCTCCATATGGTTCGTGGAGAAGCTGGTCTGGTTGGGAAAGTTGGGATACAGGGTCACATATCCTCGCAGGTACATCATATCAATGAGGAACTTCTTCCAGGAGGCTTGCCACCCGTTTGTCCGCGAGCGTGGGATCTGCACGGGATTTTGCTTCGCATCTGCCGTGTACCGGGTCCCCATGTAGTGGTAGAACTCTCGCCAGTGCCGTGGGAAGAAGAGAGCGCCCCAGCTGCAGGGGAGCTGATGCAAGTATGGTGTGTTGGGATGGATCGCCTTGAAGAAGTCAGTGGCATTCCAGCGTGGTCGCTCCTTCACGACTTCCACAACTCTCGGTGTGTACAGGGAGATGGAGTTGAGCTCGGCCACCTCTGCGGGGCTGTAGTGGTAGACGAGGACTGCGTACTTGAGCCACATGAAGTAGAATGGCGAGACTTCGATGTCATCCTCGAGCAGGAGGCCGAAGTCATCGTCCGAGGCCGGATACCAGCTTTCGCTCACGGCCCGTATGAGTCCGCCTTGGATTATCCTGCGGCGGATGGTGACTTCGCCGTGCGGCCACTCGAAGCTGTGGACGATCTTCAGCGTTTCCGCGTCGACCGCACTGTCAATGCTGAAAGTTAGATGGATCTCGTCGCCGACGTAGTATGCACTGGCGAGTGCTCCCAGCAGACGCTTCAGCGAGCGCGGTCTGTTTTGCGTGATGATGCTTATCGAGATTCTCATCGTGTTCCATTCTGTAGGTATAGCAAGTCAGTGAAAGTTCCCGAGAAGCTTAAGACGCTTACGTTGAAGAGCGGATGTTTTCACGTCGGCTATCCACAGTGCATGTTCGATGGCGCGTCGGGGAAGCTGTAAGACGGTGGTGTTTGCTTGGAAAGCAGCCAAAGTTATGGCATCACGGACGTCGGGTAGCAAGTCTGCGACACTGATAATAATCGCCGGTGAGTGAATTTTTATCAAGCCTTTCATGGCTGCGAGGACCTCATGAAAGACCTGCGTGTTGGAATTTCCAGACGAGACGAAACTGATGTCCAAGTCGAACATCTTGAACCGGCGGTCGTGGCAACTGTTTGACGACCACCCGAGCATGAGAGCCGCTTCTTCGCAGGGACAGTAAGGTCCTCCCGACACTACGACGTAGGCCTTCTTTCCAGGGATGCTCCGGAAGCGCAGAATAAGTGGAGCCAGGTCCAGGATCTCTCCCAGGGAATGCGCATAGAAGAAAACGTCACACTGCTGTGGAAACATCGCGGCCCACTGTGTCACGTAGCCGCGGGACAGTGCGCTCCACCACTGGCGATCACGGAGCTGGACTATATCCTTGTGGATGACGGTGGTCTCGGAGACGTAAGCCAGGCGGTGCTCGCTATCACCCCAAGTATCTCGGTCGTCCGGATCGATTGGAACCACGTAAGAATGGACTCCAAGGTACTTTTGCAGCTGGTAACTAACCATCAACGCTCGGGTTAGCCGATGGAATTCACAGGGCAGAGTTCACCTTAAATGAAGATCTTCTCCGGTGCTGAAAGTCAGTGGGGACTCGAGAAAGAGGGCTTTGACGATGTTCGCTGGAAGGAACCAGGAGCTTGACAGGAAATCAACCTGCAGTATTCGGTCAACAATGATTCTATAGGCGGGGTCGGGGATATAGAGTCCGGCTTCCTTGGACCCGGGTTTCCGGTAGCTCGGGAAGCTGAAGTCCTTTTGCCTGAAGGGAAGGATACGTCCGATGCTTCCGAGAAGTGAATTGTGGTACCGGGCCGTGCCTGCTACGTACGAGAAAATCTCCAGGACTTTCTTACCGGGGATCATATCATCGTCCAAGATATACACAAAGTTGGCGCCTTCCGCTTGCAAAGCCAGCTGAAACCTTCCGAAGTACTTGAAGTCGTACGTGGAGGTCATGAAGTGGATCCGGGAATCGTTGTAGGCCTCGACAGTGCTCCTCAGGTGGCTCTCGTTTGGGCTTCCAAACGCAAGCACCCACAAGCTGTGGAAAGGCAGCGTCTGGCGGAGCAGCGAATCCAGTTGCGAGCACAGTGTTCTCCGCTTGAAGTGGTTAAGGATGACAGTGACCTTGGGCCTGGTCCGCGACGATGACGACGGCAAGATCATGAGCTCGGACAGTGTCTCGCATCCCCGGGTGGAGTTTTGGAAGGCGACAATCTCCTCGTAGAGCTGCGTCTTGATCCGGACCAGGTTGGTATCGTTTGATACTTTCTGCGCGAAGCTGATCTCCTCGTAAACGCACAGGCTCTTCTTCAAATCCTCTTTGCCGCCGCCGAGCTGCTGCTCCGGGAAGAATTTCTTGGTGAGCTTCGAGCTCCATGCACTCCGCGGCAAGTCCATGGCCGAGGGGATCATAAAGTAGAGCAGGAATGTGGCATACGCCGCGAACACGAACTGGAGGCATGTCAATCCGGCGGTGACTTTGAAGCTCCTGGCAGCAACCGGCTTGCGAGCTTTACCTTGAAACTCCGCGGCCAGCAAGCAGCTGTCGATGGTATGCTCTCTCCCGGCGCTAAAGTTTGCTCCAGCCATGGCTCATATCTCCCTTCTTCTCACTAAAAGGGGGAACTTACAGGAGCTTGCGGAGGAGATCTGCCGGCTTCCTGCATTGCGATTGTTCGAGCTCGCGCGCTTGGCTGCTCGAGTGGCCTCTCCGGATCTTCTCCAAGGCAAGTGATGTCTGTTACCTAAGGAACGGGACTTTATCGTTATAAAGCGATGGTTTTCATGCAGGGACAAGAAAAGCAAAGCTAAGCAACCAGGCCACAGGCCGGAAGAACAAAAAAAAATGCGTTTTCTCGTTCTCCCGAGACGGAAGAAGCGGTGGAACACACTTGAGTTGCTCAAAACTGAAGCACAGGCTGCCGTGTATCAGGGGTTTGGCATTTTACTTCGTGTTTGGTCACGGATCTGACGATTCCATATTGCTTTCGCCTGTGACGCCACAGAGAGAGACGCGTTTGTTCTTGCTCCGGCACTGAGAGAGACGCGTTTGTTCTTGCTCCGGCACTGAGAGAGACAGAGATGGAGGTCGGGAGCTCGAGTCGCTTGTACGCTCGGAGAAAGAAGGTCGGGGGCTCGAATCTCGCGCGTGGCAAGTTGGTTGTCGGGGCCGAGACGCTCGGGGGTGGAAGCGAGAAGATGAGATGGTGGTCGACTTTTCATGGAGGGGGACGTCGCCGCCGCCGCCGCCGCCACAAACGAGAGCGCGGCACTGGATCTAAGAGCACAAGAGGAGCCGCCGGGGAGGAGCGAAGAGGCGGCGGCGATTGAGCCGGCGGAATCGGAGATTGATCGTCGGGAGGCGATCGCAGCTCCGACGCTCAAGGCGCCTCCACCATCGCCGGAAGTGGACACGGCCATGGCGGCTGGGGACTCCGAGAGGCAACCAAAGCAGCATCACCACCACCACCTTCGATCCGGATCCGCCAAGAACATGGCCCGGCACTCGGTGCTGGAGCGGTCGCTCTCGTCCACAATGGCGGAGGTGGCGCCGCCGGATCCAAAGAGGTCGAGGGGCGCGGCGGTGGAGGAGCCCGAGGAGGAGGAGGCGGAGGGGCGGCGGAGCAAGTGCTCGACGTGGAAGCGGCGGTCGTGCAAATGCCTGGTGGCGTTCGCGGGCGACTGCGCGGCGCTGTGCTGCTGCCCGTGCACCATCCTCCACCTGGTGGCGCTCATCTGCATCCGGCTGCCGCTCACGCTGCTCTACGGCGCGTGCTCGAGGCTGCTGAGGCGGCGGGGCTGGCGGAGGAGCTGGCGGAGCGAGCGCAAGAGGAGGGCGTCGTCGTCGGCGTTTTCAGCTGACATTGGCGAGACCGTTGTGGCCGTCGCCGCCGCCGCCGCCGCCAAGCTTGGCGGAGGAGGAGAGAACCACCACCACCACCGGAGATCTTCCTTCAGTGCGTGGCCTTTCGGCGAGCCGCTGGTGATCGACTTCCCGCCATACCCCGGCGGGTTTGGCGACGCGCGGCACTGGAGCTTCTTCGACTCGGGCTCCGACGGTAGCTCCGGGTCGCCCAAGAAATCCCACTCCGCAAACGCCCAGCCTTGGGATCCACAGCAACACCGCCACAAACAACAACAAGAAGATCATCAACTCCAACAAGAACAATAGTCGCAACTAAACGACTAAAAACCCCTCATACCAAAAAAAAGCTCACAGCCATCAACTAATTTTTCTCATGGCCCGGGAGTCAAATGCATTTGTTATTGCTTGAAGTCAATCCAGGAGAATCTTTTGATTTGAATATGCCTGCCTACGTAGCTACGCTAGGCCTACAACGCGTAGCTGGCGGCCTATACATTTATCAACAAAGAAATACAGCAAGCAGATCAGGGTTATAGTCTCTGGAACATGTGCATGTGCATGCGCATGGCCATGCACGCACTTTTCCAGACATTAATTTGAAAGCTGACACAATTGCCCACCTTCTTGCCGCAAAAACTAAACCAAAACTAAACCTTACGTGCATGGCGGCATATTCCGCTCCAATTAGGTGGCCCGGTAACAAAATTTTACCCCCGCTTGCATTCGCCAGGGCCTCGGCAAATTGTGGTGGCCGTGCAGTGGGTTATAAAATCTTGGCCCCCTGGACTGGATGGGCCACAGGGCAGCTGTACGGCCTGGCGAGCGCGACGCGTACGGCACGTAGTACCCCGTGTGTTTTTCTTTCCTTGCTTGTTTTTGGCATTTCTTTCTTGTTATCTTTTTTGTTGATTGGCCACTCATGACAAATTTGAGGGAACCCTCTCGCCAACATTATGGGGCCATCCCAAGAAGAAAAAAAGAATGGATTTGCCTGGGCCGTACAGAGCCACAATGGGGGACGTACAGCGGGCCCCTTCTTTAATGACGGGGCCGCCCCGATGACCTTTTACTACATTGGCATGGTTTTTTTTTTTTTCCCTGTTTGTGTACCAAAATGCCGCTAACTAAATGTAGCGCCGTTCCGTTAAAAAAAGAGAAGACCTCCTTTCTTTCTTGCGCGCCTCTCTCTCGGTCTCTCGCTCTCTCTCTCTCTCGATCGATTCGAGTCTTCCCTGCTATAAAATAAGAGCCCATTCTTTGGAAACCCTCCGTTCGCTTCTTCTTCTTCTTCTTTCTTCGTTCTTCTTCGCTCTCCTCTCTCTCTCTCTCTCTCTCTCTCTCTCATCAGGAGAAGGCATGGGGGTTCTTGCTCGATTGCCAGCAGCATGCCAAGATTGTCCTGGCCGCGATTCAAAATTCGGCAGCGCGGGCTGTGAGATTCACACCCAATTCTTGTCTTTCCGTTTTGTCGCTCCTCGATGGTTGGGTTTTCTCTTTTCCCTCCCTACTAATCAATCCCTTCCTCCTTGAGTTCACGTGTGAGAGGATGAGATCGATTGCGGAGCAAGTCCTGGATGTGGGGATTGTTGCCTGGCTCGAGGGAGGCATTCCTTTGATCTTTTCTCTCCTGGGAAGTACTCCAGAAGAACTGTGCCAGAAATGTGCGCTCTCGGACCAGGCTTCATTCCCCTCATCTGAGATTGCACCATTCACTCTCGCCTTCGTCGTCGACTACGCGCTCTCTCTCTCTCGAATCCATGCATCCATGCAGGTAAGTTTGTCAACAAAACTGTAGCATTTGAAATAGATCTGTGAGCTGCACAGAGTTGCAGGGAGAACTCTAGTTTCTTCGTTTGTTGTCTACAGCATGGTTTCGTGATAGCTCTTGACTTCCTTCACCACGGACAAGACTTTTTCGTTCTGATCTGTCGTGATCATGGTGGGAAAGCTTTCGTTACCACGTAGAATTGTAGTATGTACTTCTCCTGAGATCAGTGACTTTTCATCCGAAACAACAATAAGATCTGGTTCCCGAAGCATAGCGTCGTGAAGTGCACGTTGTTTGGCCTCGGGAGCTCCACTTCTTTCGTGATTCGTGATCGATCTACGACTGCATCACAAGTCAACTCGGAGCTGGGTGTTTTGGTTTTCGCAATGCTGCGCACCGCAGCAATTCCGCAAGGCTTTTTTCCTAAAAAATCTCGGCATTGCGGTGCACAGATTCCTTCAAGGAACGGCCAAAGCAAAACCAACACAACGACAGGCAAATGCTCATCGAAGTTTCGAAGTTGCCGTTCTAAATCAGCTTCTCTTATTATTTTTATTATTATGATTATTATAGGCAGTCCTGGACAAGTCCCATTCTGTCCTTGTGTTCTGCTTATAATCGTTGCGTAACAAGTTGTGAAATTGTAGAAATATAAAATGCAAGCACCACCGCATAATAACTAATCTACAAACGCAACGCTCTCGCGAATTGATAAATCCCATGCTCTTGGCTGGCATGACAATAGCATCTCTGTGCCCGGTGATTTGATTCACTTCCTCCCCCTCCATTGCAAACTTCAATGCAGGAAGATCGCAGGAGAAAGCAGCAATAGTAAAAAACTATACAAAGAGACAAGGTCTACGTATGAGGGTACTGTGCAAGCTGCCGCTTTGCAAATGAGAGAGCAATTGGCACCCCTTGGGTTTTGCACCGCCCCTTTGTTTTCTCTCTTGTTTTCACTCTACAGATCCCAGTGCTTCCATAGTGTTTTTTGCCTCTTTGCGCTTGTCTCTCTATCTGCTCTCATAAGTCTTTCTGCTGCTCTTGTTTGCTGCTTTCTGCTGCCGCTGCTGCTGCTGCTGCTGTTGCTGATTCTGATTTCTGACCTGTGTGATATAATAAAAGTTGACAGAAGTGTTGTATGCGAGTGTGTGTAGGTGTTTTTATGTGTGTGTGCAAGCAAGAAAGCACGTCTCTTTCACGACATTAATCGGAGATTCCAGAAGCCGAAGCTGTTGCTGCGCTCCTCGCTTGCTGCTGTTGCTGCTCCGAGGACGACTCCCCCTGGCAACTGTTGTAAGCATGGCGACGTGGTAGTTACAATGCCATTGGGACAAGGATTAAAACCAACTCAGGAAAGGATCAGAGAGAAAGCTAGTTCAGCACATGAGATTTGAACCAAGCTGCGAGCTGCGACCGATCCCCTTCTAAACCGTGGCCATCTCTTTCCAGCGCCATTAACTCGTCTTGACCACGAGAGACTTCCAAGGCCGCTTGCAAGCACGTCTTAGATGTTTCCCTGCGCGCTTTTCATTACACATATAATTGAGAAAACGTGGCTGAGAAGCGCACAGCTGATATTGACTGGTTTGTTTTTCTTCCTCTTTTTGTAATATATACACCATTGTCATCTAGAATAATTTTTTTAGATCCTCTCAAGGTTCGCCATATCTCTCTCGAGAATGCTCCATAACAGGCGCCACCAGCACGCAGTAGACAGGCAGACAGACAAGGAGGTATCGAAACTAGCTGGCTGACTTACGATTAACGAGGCGAGTTCTCTCTCTCTCTGTGCTTTCGTCGTCGCCTCCATGAAATCGAAATCTATAATCTAATCTAGATACATCTATATAATAGATAAAGAAGAAAGTTCACGGCTCATGAATACACTAAAGCGGAAGCTGGAGATGGGGTTTTTAAATGCGCTGGTTTGACTCTAAGAAAGAGATTACCCCTTGCTCGCTTGGTTGGAATCGATTTGGGGCGGAGCGAAAGCGACCTCAGCAGTAGCAGCAGCAGCAGCAGCAGCAGCAAAAGCTGCTTGCAACAAATACTACTGTTGCGAGCGCTGTACGTGGCTTTCATGGCCAATGGTGGCGGTAATGTCACTCGGAAACGATAACTTAGCCCAGCCATGGTGCTGCGCTGTGCGCTGCATACTGCACGGTATACAGCCACCCACGGCTGCATTTGCTTCTGAACGAAATACATAGCTATTCATTCAATAAATCTAGATAGTATACTACTAGTAGTAGTACGTAGCCTTTTACCCGTGCTGCTTTCTTTAAATCCTGGCCTTGTGCTTTCTCTGCCTGGCGCAAGAACAACCTGAATTCCTACTTCGGAAAAGTTAGCGTAATGGCAGCTGACCCTTGACTGGATTCCTTGTCGCAAGTACAACCATTATATGTTAAGCTTGAGTCGGTGATCATATGCGGTTCGATCAGATCAAAGCAAGCTCACACTTCTTTCCTTTTGATCCTTGAATTAGTTCGTATTTGCTTGGAGATGTTTGAGGAGTACCATGTACAAAGGTCCAAAGTTACGAGGCCTCGGCTCTTTTGGCAAACCGTTATTGAGGAAGGCTATGTCGTTGTCGGCAATGGCGAGGCGGAGGGAGCCCGTGGAGAATCATCGCAGCAAGTAGCCTAGCAAGTGGCGTTTTATAGTTGATCGATCAGCGGAGTTGGACTGGGGCATTGAAGGGGAAATAGCAAGTACGATTCGATTCAAACAACAACTAAAAATCTGTCGATCCCGTGCAACGACGTTCAAACGGATGAAATCCTCGGAACAAGACCTTTTCTCCAGTCAAGGCAACACATGCAAAATATTTGAGAGTACAGGAAAACGGTATTTGCTCTCTTAAGCAAGAAAGTGTAAACTTAAGATGTAGATTTTTTACTTATATAATGTAATAACAAAGAATGAAATATAGTAAGAAATTCAATTTTTTTCAAAAGCTAATATAATTTGTTAATTTTACAATACTTTTTTAATTTGCTTCATGAATTCCTTAGTTAAGAGTGTGTACGTGTGTTCAGTTGGGTGTATTATATCCCAGAAGACATAATCACTTGGATTCTTGCACAACCCACTAAATGTGTTCTTTTGTGAAAGGCAGTTGGGGCAACAACCACCAGCTTTCTGAAATCCAAACCTCTTTGGATTCTCCACATATGATTTAATCAAAGAGTAACCATCCACAAATGCTCCTTTCATCCCTGGAAACTTCTTTGCCACCCCCAAAACAATCTCCCGGGCTTGTATATTGAATTCTTCCACCAGATTGTTAATCTCACTCACACATCTCCCTCCCGAAGTCACAATAGGCGAACATCCTAGTGCCCCAACACTAGAGTAGATAATCTTCCGAAATCCATGATTGTACAGTTTTTGTAAGCCCTTCTCAAGTGATATTAACATTGCTTTCAAGTCAACATTAGCGATGTCTTGAAGATTTGCTGCAATATCGTTCCCACCAGAAGATATCACAACCACAAATTCATTGAGATTGAGATTCTTCTTGGAGAGCTGCGTGAGCTGCTTTAGCTGCTCGTTAAACGACACAACGCCCCAGTCCGAGTGAGTCGAGTCAAGTAAACCACTGCCGTCTGAAGCAAAGTTGATGCTTAGTGGAAGTTGCCTCCCAGCTTTCAAGCCCAGGAATGGTCTTGAAAAGGGCAAACCTATCGCCTTGTTTATCAGATCTGGAATTATAAACCCATCGCTACACCTCCCGGATGGCTTGCTAAACCTCGTCTCCCCATATGGCACAAAATCACAGCGCGAAACTGAATTCTTCACGTATTTGTTTGTGCCCACGTCGAAGATTGAATCACCCATGTAGATAGTCCCGAGTTGAGGAATCGACCTCCCATACACGCACACGCAGAGAGCCAAGATCGCAACCACGAACACTAAGATCCTCGACCACTTCGTCATTTCGCCAAAACCTTATGGCAAAACCTAATGCACAAGCTAATTTATATAGAGTTAGGGAAAAAGGAAAAGGTTACTGACTAGTTATGCAAAGCTTAAGGGGATAGTTGAGTACCTTTAAATACGTCAGATAGCTAAAATTTTAGCAAACTTTGGATGCATTGTCTACATGATATCATAGACAATAATAAACTGAGGAAGGATGGCAGCATTATCATACACTACAAGCTCATCAAAGTTGAGTATCCCTCCCACTTCACCAGACACGGAGTGATAGCCATCCGGTGGAGCAACCAATTCGGGCCTGTCCTCGGTCACCTTGAACACTCGCCCAGCCAGAACCTTACACACGAGCATGGCATGGTGCCTGGAAGCCGAGGAGCTGCCGTAGGCCTTGACATAGTCGTTTGCCTTGCTGCTGGTTGCCGTCACATAGATCCCCGCCCCAAACCGGAGGAATCCATCCACCTTTGCTTTCTTCTTCTTGAATCCGGCCAGGATGATGTTGCAGAGGCTGCACGAGAGATTGCTGCACAGTGACTGCTGCTGCGGCGTCCCGAGCCCGCACAGGACCGTCGTGCCGTGGAAGCGCAGGACCTCGTTTCCATTCTTTCCAATCTTCTCGTCCCTGCTCCCTCTCTGGGCCATCAGCTTTTCTCTGTAGTCCGCGAACCGCTTCACCCTGTGGCCCGGATTGTACACGCGGAGGATGTCAATGATGGACGCTTCGCTGCCTGGATGATTCCATTTGGCACGGAAGTATGCCAAGACTCTTCCTCGTTCCGGGTCGTCCTTGCGCATGCTCTCCACTGAAAAAACACGGGTAAATAACGAGAGAGCTTCTGGAAACTGGCCAGAGGAGTGGTTACCTGCGTGCTTTACCAGGAAGTGCTGGTCCAGGTACTGCGGGGAGTCGAACTTCGCGCCGCACACGAAGCATGAGAAGTGCTTTCCCCCGTCCCGTGGGCCGGACACCTTCATATGCGCTGCTGACGACCGCTGGTGCTGATGGAGCTCATGGTGATCCCGGAACTTCGCTCCACAGTCACTGCAGGCCAGGACTTTCGGAGTAGGAGTTGGGGCCGAGGGAGCCTTGATTGAGCCAGAACATTGGCCGTGACTATCTCTGAAATGTTGTAGCATGTACTCCTTGCTCGTAAACGACCTCAAACAGCCAGGAGCTTTGCAGGGGACCCTTGCTTGAGCATGGAGTTTAGACATCTTCGAGCTGAAAGAGTAAGCAGGATCGAATTTTTACTGAAAGAGAAACCTCCTTACCTTCCACGCTTTTTGGAGCGTTCCCCGTTCTTGCAAATAGAGACGTTTTTCGTACGCTGGATTGTCGATAATCTTCTTCTGACTTTCACGACATCCGACAAATAACCACTGATTGGTCAGCACGGTGGAGAAAAAATTTATTACCTCCTCAGATTATCGTCTCAAAATGAGGAACAGCAAAAAGAAATCACAGCACAAAACTGCACGAAACGTCTCGTCAAAGTGTCAGCTCAGACGGCAAACAAGCTTTCCTAGTTAGTTTGGCCCCGAGTTTGGCGAGTTTAACATCGAGTTTTTCGTAGCCCCTGTCAATGTGACTGACACCTTCAATAGTGGTGACGCCTTCACCAGCCATTCCAGCAAGAACCAAAGCGGCTCCCGCTCGTAAATCCGTTGCTAGAACCGGGGCTCCGTATAAAGAGCTGCCAAGAAACCACACGCATGATGTTGCAAAAGAACGACCCAAAAACGCTATACCTTCCTTGGTCCTTGCCACTTATAAATGCTAAGTTCTTGCTCACTCTTATTTTAGCTCTCAGCTTTTGAAGCTCCTCCACTGCACAGTACCTCACCATGAAAAAGCAGCGCAATGGAACACTCAAAGTTTTTACCGTGCCGCATCCTGTTCTCAAATACAGTTTCTTCCACGATACTTTGTCCGCAACAAGTTGTCATAAGAGATGACATCTGTGGTTGCAAGTCAGTAGGAAAACCAGGATACGGAAGGGTTGTCACATCCAGACTTTGGAGACGCGAACCGCAAGTCACCTGCACGAACTCGTGGTACATACCACCAAGCCACTTGATCACGAGAAATTTACCTCAAGCCCGTCGGGTGCGGTTTGCACAATTTTGCAGCCGATTTGTTGTAGCTTGCTCACAACAGCAACCAAGTGTCGAGGCACAACTCGAGACATGGAAATGGATGACCGTGTTATGGCTGCGGCCATCAAGAATGTCCCAGCTTCAATGCGATCTGGAATTATCGTAAACGACGTCCCGTGCAATCTCGGGACCCCTTCGACCGAGAGACACTTGGTTCCTGCACCAGTTATGTTTGCACCACAAGAGTTCAGAAACTCCGCAAGATCCACAACCTCGGGTTCCTGAACGACGTTAATTCTTTCCATGCATTACGTTTCATGAGAAGGCAGCAACGTAAGAAAATCATACCTGAGCGACATTGTACAACGTCGACTTGCCATCTGCCAGTGCCGCAGCCATCATCAACGTCTCCGTCGCGCCAACGCTCGGATAGTCAAGACAGAAGCTCCCACCGACCAGTTTTGATCCATTCGCTGCTCGAGCATGGACTTTCCCATGCCTACAAAGTACAACGTTGGATGAGTTGTCAACAAGGAGAAATAAAAAAAAAGGAAAGGAAACATCACTAGCCTGATTTTCACTTGCGCTCCCAAAGCTTGCAAGCCACGGACGTGAAGATCAATCGGTCTAGCTCCAATGTTGCAACCACCAGGTAGAGGAACTAGCGCTTCACCCTGTCGTCCCACAAGAGCACCGATGACAAAGAAGCTCGCTCTGAGCTTCCTCACGACGTCGGGGCACGGCTCCACCGAAGTGATATGACGAGAGTCAATCACAATGTCGCAAGCCTCTCGTCTGATGCGCACCCCGACTGACTGGAGCACCTGGAACATCCTCCGGATGTCATGGAGGTCCGGAACCATCCGGAGGCTGACTTGATCGTTGGTACACAAGGCACCAGCGAGAACTGCTAGCGCCGAGTTCTTGGCACCACTTATCTGGACGTGGCCAGATAGAACTGTGCCGCCTTGGATCTCAAGGCACTCTGGATAACTAGCTGGAGCTCTGGTGAGTGGTGGCAAGCTCGATGGATTGGTGCTTACCAGATTATTCTTCTCGTGTATCACCGGAGCTGCTTGAGCGTGAGCGTGAGCTGGAGTTGGACACGCAAATGTCCATCTGGAGAAACGAAGATCTCTTCTACTAAATCCGCTGCTCCCGACGCGGCGGCTGGCGATTCCGTGAGCATGCAGGGATCGCGATGGCCAAGCGGAGAGGATTCCGTCGGCATTTCCCCAGCTGTGGTGATTGAGCGCCAGGCACGAGCAAGCGAGCCCGGCCATGGCCGCAGCAGGAGCCATGCCCCTGCCAGACTCACCGCTATGGCGCGCCACAGATTATCGATAGCGCCCGCATTGTGATGCCTCCTCGCCTGTAAAACCCTAGCGCTGGAGAGAAGAGCGAGCAATGCCGCAAAAGTCTTTCCAAGACCTGATTGGAGCAGCGATCTATGCCCTAGACGCTCTGAAAATCAGGGGATCGCGAAATATTTCGATGCTTCGCAGCCCTATAGCGCGATTGATGAGGAGCACTAAAGAAGAGCTTCTTTATCCTGGCAATGCCAGACTAGAGAATGCGTGTCTCTCAGTGGAAGCTTGAGAGAGAGAGGCGAGCGGCAAACAAGCAGGCAATGACGTGGGTCCACGTGGCAAAAAGAATACGCTGATTGGTTGTCGGGGATTTTCATCATATGCCCATGTTTTTCATGCCCTTCATAAAAAGAACAAAAAATAAGTCGTTGGGGTGAGAGAGGCTCGAACTCTCGACCTCAGGATAACTCAGAAGCTATGAGACCTACGCGCTAGCCAACTGCGCCACCACCCCCTGACAGTATTCTTTTCAAACAAAAGCTCTTTATACGAGGAAGCATGGCACTGTTAAAACTAAAGGTTTTAGGGTTCCTGTAGGGGAGGGGAGAGGAGAAATGGCCAATAGGAATGGGAGCGACGACCAGCACGGCGAGGTGGAGAACGCCCCTCCCGCGGAGCCGAACGACGAAGAGGACTCTTTGCTGATGCGAGTCAATGCGTATCTCGGCGATGCCCCTCCCGTCCCCGATCCGGCCGAAGGTGAGTGTTCGATCGATCAATCCCGCTGCTAGCAATGTTTTCCCCATCCGCGATCGATCGACCAATCCCTCCTCGCGCGCTGCTAACAATGGTTTCCCCAATCCGCGCAGTGGAGGACGCCGAGAGCTCGCCGGTGTGGCTGGCCGTGGAGGAGAGCATCCGGCAGCACACGAGGCCCGCATTGGAGGAGGCGGTGAAGCAGGCGAGGGCGGAGGCCTCGGCGCAGGCGACGCGGGAGCTGCGCATGGAGCTCCAGGCCCTGGCACAGGATAGCTCCGCCCGGATGGAGCGCTTCAAGGTGGAGCTGGATCAGGAGAGGGCCAGGGTCGCGGAGCTCAGGGAGGAGCTCGCCATCGCCAAGGCTCAGGCCGTGGAGTCCAAGATCAAGGCCAAGCTCATGCTCGACTTCGCGCTCAACGAAAGGCTGTTCATCTAAAAGCTCCCTTCTCTTTAGTTTTAGTGCCTTTAATTTTGACCTTTAAGACTGGTCTACGTTTAAGGGGAAAGGGAATATGCTTTTGTAGATTGCGAATCGCTAGACACGTGGACGGCTGTAATTTAAACTATGGCTTGGGGCGTGGGGAGCCCTAACCGATGCCTGCCCGGGTGGGATGAGGAAAAGCAGCCTGGGCATTGCCGCCGATTTCCAGCAATCGGCATCGTCGCCATCGCCAGCAGCAGCGCTACCTCTCCAATCCCTAGCAGCGGCAGGAGGAAGATCTAGATCATCGCTGCCGACTGGATCGTCGCCTGGATTGATCGATCGCGGGTGTGATCTGGGATGAAGAAGGCGAGGGCGAGCGTTCTCACCAAGTATGACTCGGGCGGCGGACAGGTGGTGGTGGCATCGGTGAGGCTGGGCGTGGACGATCTCCAATTGCGGGCCTCCTGCTCCGATCGGACCTTCGTGCGCAGCGCGGGGCTCAAGGGGCTCACGGTCGGGGTGGAGAAGCCCGGATCGTTCGCCCTCGAGTACGATGTCCACGAAGCAGTGCCGCGCTTCCAATTCTCGGGCGTCGGCCGGCTGCTCAACAAGGATGTCCAGGTCTCCTACACGCACCAGCCCAAGACCCGAGACGCGCTCGTCGTGGATGGGATTCTCATCGCCAATCCCGCCAACAAGCTCCACGGCCGGATGATCTTCCCCACCAACAAGGGCCATGTCAAGATGTGCTACGTCCACAATGGCCACACGAGCATCGAGCCGGGGGTGGAGTTTCCCAGCCGGGCCTGGAATCTGGGGATCGCGCACAAGTTCCCCGGCAATCACAACGTCAAGGCGACCTACGATCATATGGTGAAGACGGTGGGATTGGCGTGGAGCAGGGATCCCGAGAATGGCAGCGGCGCTTGCAAGATCTCCGCCAATGTGCCGCTCCAAGAACCGAAGAACGTCCGGGTGCTCATGGAGAAGGTGTGGAATTTCGACTTCTAGATCTGCGGCGGCGGCGGGGAAGAGTGGAGAGATTTGACGTGGATTTCTTCCTTTCCCCCCCTTTCTTCCCCCATTCTTTTTGGTGAAATAAAACTTTAGGGTTCTTGGAACTCGCTTCTAGGGTTCTTGAGAGAACGCGGCGAGCGATTCATCATGTATGTGTCATTTCTGGCACTGTCTCCTTAGATCAGAGCACTTGCGGCGGAATCCGGGGCGGCATTGCGCGTATGGCTGGGATTCTCGAAGGTATCTGGGAAATCACTTCGAGGTAGAGGATTTCCAGGACCAGGAGGGAGGATCGCGCACACAGGAGCTTCTCACCGCATTGAAGGCATGCAGCAGCGCCAGGGATCTCGACATCGCCCGGGCGATCCATGCCCGCGCCCTTCACACTGGGCATTTCGGCAATGTGTACGTGGCCAACACGGCCGTGGACATGTTCGCGAGCTGTGGAAGCCTGGCGGAGGCCCGCGGCGTTTTCGACCGGATGCCGTGCCACAGCGTGGTGTCCTGGAACGCTTTGATCCTCGGCTACGCACAGCACGGGGTGAAGGAGGCGGCATTGGCATTGGATTTGTTCCGGGGCATGGAAGCTGAGCCGGATCGCCGGACTTTCGTGGCGGCTCTCAAGGCTTGCAGCACCTTGGCAGCGAGCAGCGAATCCAGCAAGCTCGGGGCCCTGGAAATCGGCATGGCGACGCACTCTCAAGCTATCAAGGCTGGATGCGATGCTTTCAACTACGTCGCGAACACTATGGTGGATATGTATGCCAACTGCGGGAGCATGGCCGATGCTCGCAAGGTCTTTGACAGGATGGAGAGCTGGGACGTGGTGTCCTGGAATGCGCTGCTGCTGGGCTATGCCGAGAATGAGGAAGAGCTCGCTTTGAGGGTCTTCTCGTGCATGGCATCGATCGAGGATGCTCCGCAAAATCACCTGACTTTCGTGGCGGCGATCAAAGCCTGCACGAATTTGGCGCCCAAGGAGAAGGGGAGAAAAGTTGATGGGAGGCTTCTCAAGGTGGCGGCTCTGGAGAGAGCCAGTGATCTTCATGCCCAAGCTACCGCGAGCGGTCACGAGAGAAACGCTAAAGTGGCCGGTGCTTTGGTCGACATGTATGCGAAGTGTGGGAGCATGGTGGCTGCTCGTCGCGTCTTTGAGAAGTTTTCGCCCCTGGACGTGGCGCTGTGGAACATTTTGATGCTGGGCTACGCGGACAACAAGGAAGCCGAGCTGGCTTTGGAGGTTTTCGAGAGTATGAAGGCACAGGGCTTTACACCCAACTCCAGGACGTTTGTGGCGGTGCTCAAGGCTTGCACCAGCCTAGCAGCAAAAGAAGAAGGGAGAAGCCTGAACGGGAAGGTGGTGAAGCTTGCCTGCTTAGAGAAAGGTGTAGCCATCCACAGGCAAGCTTTGGAGCTTGGCTGCGACGGTGATATCTATCTAGCAAGCACGCTGGTGGACCTTTACGCGAAATGTGGGAGCTTAACAGATGCTCGCAAGGTGTTCGATGCAATGCTTCGCCGGAATGAGGTCTCCTGGAACGCACTGATACAGGGGTACGTTGAGAGCAACGAGGCGGAGGGAGCTCTGGCGCTTTTTTCAGAAATGAGAACTTCCACCTGTGCGCCGGACGCTCTAAGTTTTGTGGCGGCCATTAAGGCATGCACCGCTCTGGGTGCTGAAGAGCTTGGCAAACAGCAACCCGACGGCAAGCTCGTGAAGGTGGTGTCGTTGGAAAAAGGCAGGGCAGTTCACGATCAAGCTAGAAATTCCGGCTGGGACGCCAACACCTTCGTCAGGAATTCGCTGGTGGACATGTACGCAAAGTGTGGCAGCCTGGAAGACGCACGCAGGCTCTTGGACGGGATACCTGGTTGCGATGCGGTCTCCAAAACAGCTCTCATGCAGGGGTATGCCGAGAGTGGAGACGGAGAGCTTGCGCTGGAAATCTTCTGGGCTATGGAGTCGAGAGACGCACTAGCGTTTGCAGCAGCTCTCAAGGCCTGCGGAAGTATAGCAGCTCTGGAACCCGGTAGACGGATCCATGCAGAAGCGTGCAGGGTAGACTTCGGACGGGATTCACTGGTACCAAACGGCGTAGTGGATTTCTATGCAAAGTGCGGGAGCATGGACGCTGCTCAGCACGCCTTCGACTCGCTCCAGAGCAGAGACTCTGTGAACTTCACGGCACTGATCGCGGGGTACAGTCACCAGGGAGACAGCAGCGCAGTGTTCGATCTCTTCCATGCCATGGAAGACGAGGGCTGCGACGCAAACGCAGTGACCTTCGTCAGCCTCCTCACGGCTTGCAGCCGAGCAGGGCTGGTGCGCAACGGACAGAGCTATTTCAGCGCGATGGCGGCCAAGTTTGGAGTGAGGCCGGGGCTGGAGCACTACGTGTGCATGGTGGACATGCTGGCCCGCTCGAATCACCTGTCGCAAGCGCTGGCGATGGTGGAGGGGATGCCGTTCCAGCCCAACACGGTGCTGTGGACGTCGGTACTGGCAGCCTGCTGGAAGTGGAAGAATGTGGAGGTGGGAAAGGTGGCGTTTGACGCGTTGGTCCGGCTGGATGAGAACGAAAGCGCGGCTTACTTGCTCATGGCCAACATCTATGGAAGCTGCGGTCTGTGGGAGGAGCGTGCCAGAGTTCTGGAAGCGGCTACAGGAAAACAGGTTCCCAGGTTGTGCCAGGAATTTGGAAGCAACTAGAGAGATAGGATGGGACCGACTGATGACGGAGGGGCTGATGGTCATCGAAAAGAATGAATGAAAGCTCCAACTTTGGAGTCAGGGAAGGGATGGGCTGATGATCATCGAAGCAGGAAGAATGAAAGCTATGAAAGCTCGAACTTTGGAATCAGGGAGGGGCTGCAGGAAGAACGAAAGCTACAAAAGCTCCAACTTTGGAGTCACTGGAAAGACAAGAACAACAGGGGAGACAAGAACGAACGCAGCGGAGAATGGAAGTCAGGAACAATGGTATTACAGACAAGGGAGCAGAATTATACAGATAAATGAGGAGATCATCCACCAGATCATGGCATCAGCAGCCTCGCCGCCTCTTACCGATGACCCGGACGATCTCTTTGGTCACCTCGAGCTGCATCTCGGCGATCTGGAGCTGGAAGGCCCGGCTCTCCTGGCTCATCTTGAGCTGCGCCTCCACCTCGAGCTGCTTGCACCGCTCGAACGCCTGCGTGTAGTGATTGAGAGCTCCCACCAGCAGGTTGATGGCCGACGACGTGGAGCTCCTGCCCGACTTCTTGCTCTTCTTCCTCACCGACGCCGCCGCCGCTACAGCCCGGAAGTCGATCTCGTCGGCCCGCTCGCTCGTCGTCCTGGGCGACGACACGGTCGTGTGCTGCTGCTCGTCGTCCTCATCGCCGCCACCTTCTTCTCCAGCGTCGCCACCGTCAGTGCCGCCGCAAGCGCCTCCATGGCCGGGTGGCTCGTCGTCGTCGTCGTCGTCGTCGTCGTCGGGATCCAGGTTGGTGGGCGACGAACAGTTCCTGGCGGTGGTGGCGGCGTCCGCGTTGTTGCTGTGGATGGCGGCGGCGATCCTCTTGGAATTGGAGTTCCCGGTGGCGAGCGCGGCGGAGGAGAGCTTGAAAGTCCTGCCCAGGATGGAGTCCATGCGGTCGAAGAAGCGCCAGGTCGGGGGGACGTCCGCCTGGATCATCCGGAGCTTTGACTTCTTGTAGAGGCGGATGAGAAGATCCACCTTGTTCTTGCACTGCTTCCAATCGTAGCTCGTCTGGAAGGTGGAATTCAAGGTGTCGGCGATCTCGCGCCAGTGCTGGCTGCGGAGGTTACCCATGTTGAGCTTGATGACCTTGATGTCCTCGAACTGGTCGATGAGGCTGTTCACCACCGCCGTCGGCCATAGATCTCCTCCTCCTCCACCGCCGCCGCCGCCGCCGCTAGCTCCTCCGCCAACGCCACCGCCTCCTGGCGCCGCTCCCGCCGCCGCCGCCGATCCATTGTGACCCAATTCGTCCGCCGCCGCAGCTCCAGCGTCACCGCCCAGCTGCTGCTCGTGCTCATCAGACACAGTAGTGGATTCTCCTCCGGGAGCTGCGATGACCTAGGAAGATCGGGGCATGTCAAGAAAAGAGGAAATTTGGGGAATTGCGAGGGATTTTTCTTACCGCTTCTCCCATGGACTTGGAAGAGATGGATCGAGTAGAGAGGAAGACCCTAGGTGCGTGCGTTAGAGCATCAGTAGCTTAAGAGGGGAGGTTGGCTATGGCGGACAACGGCGACGCGCATGGAACCGCCGGCGGCGCCACATGTGATCCCCGCTGGCTGCATGCCGGAAATGCCGTCCACAGTGACGCGCGGGTATCCTGCCGCACCGCCCCTGACACGGTACTCCACCGCCAGGGAAAGATGCCACCCACGGAGTGGAATATGCTCCAGCTTTGAAAAATTATAAGGCATAAGAGCGGTTTGCTTGTGTATTTTACATCCTAGAAATCGTCCAGCTGGGTGGGAGTTTGATAGAACCTTTTTTTAATCTTTAGGGGGCTTTGATTTGAGGAGCTGGTTTTAGATGAAAACTCTCTTTCCATTGAATTACTAGACAACGTGATTGAATTGCTAAGATTTGGACGCTTGATCCTTGCGAATGACTGATTTGATACCATAGTATTTAGAACTTAATGCTGCAATCCAGTAGTGCGTATCTCCAGAAAGTGTATTGAACAAACTTGTCACTCAAGTTATGTGGTGTGGAAAATTTTATAGGTCATCTTACTGATACTTCTTTGATCTCTTGCAGACACAGCTAAGTTGCTCTCTACGAGCATAATGACTTTGTATGGCAATCTCTCATATACATTGTGATAATTGAGTTTAAGGTAATTATATCTTCTATGTAGTTGTCTTGAATATTGAAAGTTACATATCAACAAGTCTTTCAAATATTCTCCTCTTACAAGTTATTTCTTTTGTTAATCCTTTTAATTCTCCTTTACTAGTAATATTACTAATGCTAATAGTAATAGTAATATTAAAATTAAAAAGTTGAGACTATGAAGTTATTACTTTTTTATTTGCTTGACTAGAAGAAGTGTTCTTTGACAAGCCTAGACAAAGGATAAAAATATAATCGGGATAGTGGGGGAAAATAGAGATTAGATTAAAAATGTGTGAGGAAAAGTGACTTATGGATATTATTTTTGCTAAATATATAATAGGGATAGTGGGGGAATAATTCATATTGAGAAGGAGAAAATAATGCAAATAAAAATAGGAATAAATATCTTAATTAGGCTTTAGACCCTTATTTATATACAAGAATTTATGGATTGGATTCAACTAATATATTATAGTACTATAACCTCAATACATACATATTGCACAAATAGAATCAAGCAAAGCAAAGTCCCTTGCAAAAGTAGAGCACACATTATTGTCAAGAACATGACCATCACCTGGATCACAACATAGTAGCTAATAATCACTTGAAAGCTTTGACAGACCATTTTGAGTTTGGAAGCACCTCTATATATATATTGATACATATATTTACATACCTTATATTAGGACATGGTTTTTACTTTATATCTTATAGTGATTTACCACCATAAAGTAAAACTTACCCTCACATATATGTGCCAAGAGCAATGAAGTGAGATTTAAGTTTCAAAGCTTGGGCCATTGAACAAAGGGATGGAGCCAAAACTCTTGAACATATAATCAAAAAACAAATGAATGAAAGCATGGAGTGATAATATAATAGTTCTAATGCATGCAAAATAGAGCCATATAGAGTTTAGTATTATTTAAGCATATCGATAGTCTATTGCAAAGATATAGATACTCTATTAGCTAGCATAGTATGAAATTTAGGTTTAGACTTAAGCTAAATGCAAAATAAGGATATATACACTTAATAGGGAGCTATATTATGTCTCAAATTGGTTTGCTATACCTAACTTACCTATTATCCAAACTATACATTTAAAACCCCCTATATGAAAGCATATATAAAAGCATATTTTAGGCTTTCACCCCAGTCCCAAGAATTAATCTTTAGGATAATCACTAAAATTTATTAAATATAGAATGGTGCTAACTTGTGAATTTAGATGTGAAACAACACCATCATATTCAAGATAACTTTTACATTTTGTAAATATGCTTTACTAATAAATGTAATTTCATAAATAGCAAAGAGACCGAACGAAAGTAATATATGGAGAATGATAGTGAGAGTGTCTTGAGAAACATAGTAAATCATTATTTAATATTGAAAGACTAGACTCAATATCACAAAGGTTCCTAACACTAGCAAGTGCAAGCCAATATATAAGTTTCTCATTCCAAGTTGAGTATGCTCACCAAGAAATACATAGAAATTTTTACCTTATATTTATCTAGGATAAGTACACACATAATGACTAATTTTTCAAGTAGTTTTGGCAAAGACTAATAAAGAGAACCAACAACATCAACCTCTTGCTAGTGGTAGGAAGATAAGAATATTTGAAAGGACTCACAAATAGGTAACTTTTAATAACTGTAATCACCTTTTTAATACTTCCCCTTCAGAAGATGAAAAAGTGATGAAAATAAATTAAGTGGAATATCTAAAGCTTCTACTGGATAGTTATAGATTGCTAGAAGAAACTAAGTGATGATGGGTATAACAAGTCTAAATAGAACCAATGCTTCAAAAAAAAAAACCTACTAAATCACCAACATAGTTGTTAAAAATTATAATAAAAATAGAACCTTAAGTATAAGCTAATTATAAAATATGAATGAATTAGTTGTAACTCCATATGCAAATGCTAAATGCATGAACTTGAAGGCATAATTTTAAACCAAAGCAAAATACTTTGAAAGCTACTATAATCCATAAAACACTATTGTAACAAATGAGACATCCTATCTCTAAGTTTGCCTATTGGCCATCTTTCAGGACTATTGTTAACTCTAAATTATAACTATCAGCAAAACTTACATCTATATCTTCTCTTTGGTCAACCTTCAAATGCCATATTAACTCAGACTTATAACTTTCATCTTAGTCCAACACAATATTCACTTTGTTCATCTTCTATAGTTTCTTCATTCCTATTTACTCCACTATTGTATTTATTTGTCTTCACTTCATCATTAGGGCTAAATTCACATTTGTCCTTCTACCTCTCCTTTGAAGAAAAAAGAGTTCAAAATATTGGGACAAAAAGGAGATAATGAGAAAAATTAAAAAGACATATTGTGGAAGAAGTGGATAAAGAAACATCAAAAAAGGATTTTTACCAATTTTTTAAAGAAAAAATAAGGATATAAAAAGAGAATAAATGACTTTCTATTATAAAATACTTTAGCCATTATAAGATAAGTAATAAATTCATACTAATCAAACTCCTTAACATACAACTCAATACTTCAGATAAGAAAATTAATAAAAAAGTCCAAAAGGAATATATAAATTTCACTCATAAAGGAAACTTAAATTTAACTCATAAATTTAAATTTTTTTACTCATAAAGGAATATATAAATTTCTTAATATTAACAGTAAAATAAAGATTGTCAATAGTATTTACAACCAAAGACAAGCAGGCAACCTAAAACTTTAGCAAAAGTGAATCAACTCTTGAAATAAAGAAATATTCAACACCAAAACTAATAAAAAACTTTACCAACAAAAAAATCAAGATTCTCCTCTTTATACACATACTTAACATTTAAATTAATATAAAGAAAATAGAAAAAATTCAACTCAACACTAGATTGAAAATAAGAATCATAAGAGTCATAAATAATCGATATACCAAAAGAATTAAATACTACAAATAAAAAAGAAACACTAAGAACATTAGAAAGTAGCTCATGCCATGAAATAAAAAAAAGGTTAAGAAAGAGCAGAAGGCAAAAAACAAAGATCAAATAGCAAATTGAAAGATTGATCTATAAAGTCATAAATTCATCTCTAAACTATCTTTATAATATAAGGAACCAACTCCCTGAGGTGTCATATGCTAAAGGATCCCTAAAAGGATAATTGGAATGGTAAAG